AAATGAGAAAAGTGAGTGGGTGTGTGTAAGAGCAGCAGAGAGGAGAGCAGCTGATGGACAGAGAGTGAATGTAAGAGCATTTTAAAGCCTGTTTTTTTGGGACTATTGGCATGAAATGAAGGCGAGAGATCAGGGTTTTAGTGGTAGAGACACAGTAGTTGAAGAAAGTTGATGGTTATAGTACAACCTACATTTGCTTGTATGGTATTGAAAAAAACTGTCAAGGAATGAGGAGAGCAGTTGATAAGGAGAGGGGAAGGATGTAAAGAAAAGTAAGAACTTGTATTCACTTTTAAAGCCTGTTTTAAAAGCATGAAATGAAGGCGAGAGATGAGAGTTGAGGTGGTAAACCACAGTAGGAAAGTTGATGATACAGATTAATGTGTAGTTTAGTAGTGAGAAGAGCAGCTGATAAGGAGAGAGTGGACGGGTGTGAGGAAAGGTAAAATATTTATACATACATTGTTTATCTCTGGTTTACCTAAAACTGAGAAAAGTGAGTGTGTGTGTGTGTGTGTGTGTGTGTGTGTGTAAGACCAGCAGAGAGGAGAGCAGCTGATGGACAGAGAGTGAATGTAAGAACACTTTTAAAGCCTGTTTTTTGGGACTGAAAGCATGAAATGAAGGCAAGATATCAGTGGTGTAATGGTAGAGACACAGCAGGAAAGTTGATGGTCCAGTACAGTTCTTTATCTTTGGTGTTGTACAACATGGAGACAATTAGTAAATGTATAGTTTAGGAGTGATAAGGAGAGAGTGGAAGGATGTGAGGAAAAGTAAAAGAGTGTGTGTGTGTGTGTGTGTGTGTGTGTGTGTGTGTGTGTGTGTGTGTGTGTGTGTGTGTGTGTGTGTGTGTGTGTGTGTGTGTGTGTGTGTGTGTGTGTGTGTGTGTGTGTGTGTGTGTGTGTGTGTGTGTGTGTGTGTGTGTGTGTGTGTGTGTGTGTGTGTGTGTGTGTGTGTGTGTGTGTGTGTGTGTGTGTGTGTGTGTGTGTGTGTGTGTGTGTGTGTGTGTGTGTGTGTGTGTGTGTGTGTGTGTGTGTGTGTGTGTGTGTGTGTGTGTGTGTGTGTGTGTGTGTGTGTGTGTGTGTGTGTGTGTGTGTGTGTGTGTGTGTGTGTGTGTGTGTGTGTGTGTGTGTGTGTGTGTGTGTGTGTGTGTGTGTGTGTGTGTGTGTGTGTGTGTGTGTGTGTGGTCCAGGAGTGAGGAGAGCAGCTGATTCAAAAAATAAGAACACTTCTTCACTTTTAAAGCCAGTTTTTTTTTGGGACTAAAAGCATGAAATGAAGGCAAGAGATTAGGGTTGTAGTGTTAAACCACAGTTAAGAAGTTGATGGTTATAGTACAACCTACATTTGCTTATCTATGTATTGAAGAACAGAGGAAAGTGTGTGTGTTGTCCAGGAATGACGAGAGCAACTGATAAGGAAATGGGAAGGATGTAAAGAAAAATAAGAACTTGTATTCACTTTTAAAGCCTGTTGTTTTGGACCAAAAGCATGAAATGAAGGCAAGAGATTAGGGTTGAGGTGGTAGAGACACAGAAGGAAAGTTGATGGTTCAGTAAAGATTAGATAATGTGTAGTTTAGGAGTGAGAAGAGCAGCTGATAAAGAGAGACTGGAAGGATGTGAGAAAAGGTAAAATATTTATACACATGTAATGCCTGGTTCATGGGACAATATGGTTGTAACTTAAAACACAGTAGGAAAGTTGATGGCTTATCGTACAACATACATTTGTTTATCTACCGATAACTGAGAAAAGTGAATGTGTGAGTGTGTGAGTGTGTGTGTGTGTGTGTGGTTTAGGAGTGAGGAAAGCAGCTGATTAACAGTAAGAACACTGCTTCACTTTTAAAGCCTGGTTCATGGTGTAAAAGGCTAAGTAGGAGGTGGGGGACAAGGGTTTTAGCGGTAAACCACAGTAGGACATTTGATGGTTATAGTACAGCAGACATTTGATTATCTACAGTTTATGTGAAACTGAATGTGTGTGTATTGCCCAGGAGTGAGAAGAGCAGCTGATAAACAGAGAGGGTAACAGTAAGAACACTGCCTCACTTTTAAAGCCTGGTTCATGGTGTGAAAGGAGAAAAAGGAGAGGGTGATGCTATGTCTTTATATGCAAAAGGTTGTCATTGAGTCTGACCACAGTCAAATTATGCTCATCCGTTCTCACGTTCACAAGAGAGAGTGTTTCAAAAAAGAACTGAACTAAAGTGATCCTGTCAATACACAGTTCATGTCAGGGGAAGTTTGTTATTGTAGTTTTTAAGTAGTAGTATTATTTTATTCATTAATTATGCAGTATTTACAGGAGAAACACCCAAAAAAGTATATCGTCCATAATGCATCCAAATACTTACAATACTAACATTACATTACATTTTGTTTTGCTCTTTCCAAAACTACCTAAAATATATCCTTTAGCTTCAAGTAATCCATATTATTTTATTCCATGGTGGATACGTCTCAATTTACCCAAATATTTTAAGTACTACAACTTCATGTGTCAGATTTAATGGTACAGAAATACTTCAGAATATTGTGTTCCGATGTAAAGCAGTGGCTAGTATCATGATGGGATGTGTTTATGCTACATCCAAACCGTTTTCTTGTCCTTGCAGTGGAGAACCTTTTCTAAAAATACTCTATTTATTTTCCCTTGGTGAATTTGAGTATGTCACTCATGCTTTTATCTTTGCTCCCTGGGAACTATGTGTACTCTGGCATCAGTCAGAAGGCCAACTTACAAAAAATGCTTCAGCTAAGATCCTCAAGACAAAATCATATCAACATTTTAAACCTTTATGACAGAGTCCAGTTGGTTTCTCAGGTGACTTTAGTAACAGAGGCTCTGTAGGAATGTCAGCTGCTCAGTCTCAACAACAATTGGATTTATTAGAAGCACACTGCTGCATTTCATACCGTTAACGACGGCTCTGTTTAATGTAAGTGAACCAGGAGCTGAGTCAGCAGCGCAGCACTCTCACTAATGCATCAAATATATCGGTCATTATAAAGACCGACTGCTATGACATATACAGTATGGCATTATATATGTGAGAAAGGGATATAAGGTGCATTCAATTTTGTTTCTTTGCAAGCACATATGTTATTCTGGTTATTACTATGCAAAACTTATATATAGAATTAGACTTAATAAGGTCAGAACATGCACTGTATTGCATAGTTTTACATGTAATAAGAAAAACTAATACATATTTTGTGTCATTACGGTTTGAGGACATGGACTGAATTCCAGTTTAAACTACCTTCAGCTATTTGGAAGTCAAACTTAAATAACAGATTCAGAAATCACATCAACTTCAAACTTAAAAATAGCCAAATAAATAACAACGTATTTCTTAATTTCTAGAGCTCTCTATTGATACATAGTTTTGGTTTATTTGTCCAAGTTTTGAGAATTCCCCGTGTGAATCGCTGCTAAATTACGCCCGTGGGAATAAAAGCTCCCAATAAATTATATAAAAAATGTGTAGCACATGTTCAATGTTGCATTGGATACATTTTTTCCACATTTACTCTTCTGCTGTTTTTTTTTACTTTTTTGTAAAAACAAGATGTGCTTGCCAATTTTTTATAAATTTTTGCATGTATTTTTTTTAAATATGTGATTAATTGTGTGTCCTATAGAGTGCCACAGTGACGCGTCCTAAAACCCAGAAGTAAGTTAGCATTTTACCACTTCCGGTTCCTTCGACAAAAAGCAATGCAATTTCTCCATAGGATTTAGGAAAATAGCTGGAACTAAGGTCTGTGGTTGAGACACATTGAAAAGACGGATCACGTTTTGTTCTACGACATTAAATCCATCAGCAGTGACCCCACTGGTGATTTCTGAAGAGTTGACGTGTCTGAAAAACGATGGTTGTTAACAAGTGGCTGAATAGGACTACAGAAGTTGTCGAGGCCGTTGTACGTCATTACACCGAACACGTAAACACTCCCGCTAAGTTAGTTTGCCCTGTTCTGCTTGAAAGCAAGTACCTGCCTCCTGCAAACTGTTCAAACGCTTCAACTTGTACCATTTAGAATCTGTGTGTTTGAATATGGATCTTAAGTTGGCGTGACGTTGAAGCAGCGACCCTGCTGTAGTTCCTTTATAGCATAACGTTAGCATTTTGCTTCTAGCGACTAGATTTATGATTTGAAAATTATAAAAGTAGGGTAGACATGTGGATATTATCCGGCTGAACAAAACGTGATCCGTCTCTTAAATGTGTCTCAACCACAGACCTTATTTCCAGCTATTTTCCTAAATCCTATGGAGAAATCTCATTGCGTTTTTGTCGAAGGAACTGGAAGGAGTTTACTTCCGGGTTTTAGGAAGTAAAACTCAATTGTTAAATGTTCTAGTGTGAGTTGATTTATTTGGACTTTTTCATTATTTTTTACCTTTTTGTAAAGCGTCTGAGCACCTGTAAAAGCACTTGCTAAACAAAGTGTATTATTAATATTTTTTCCCAACACAAATCAATTGACCAATCGTGTTGATTCAGTCAACATTTAAAGTAATAACAAATAAATTATTTTGGTAAAAGGTTGTCATACAGCTAAACTGCAATATATAGTAAGAGCGGCTCAGTGAATAAATTGTTCAAATCAATTCTAAAAAACAATAAACAAGTGTTTGGATTAAAGTGAGGAAGTGTTCCCTCTGTGCTGTAAACACTTCACTACAATATGTTTGTGCTTCCTTTGATTTTGACAGAGAAACAATTACAGTATAAATCAAGAGCAGATTGAATACTATAAATCCAGGACAGTAATTTCCCTTCACCTCTCTGCTGTAAATCTCTCTCTGTTCATATTTAACTGTCATCCTCGCTGCCTCCATCCTCGCTTTCTTTACAATGACTTTGAGATGTTACAGAGATGTTTATGACTAAAGCTTTTAATGCATTTTATATGATATACACTCCTGATGAATGTTGGTTATTATCTTTTTTTTAAATATCTGTTTTCTTCCTTTTTCTGCAGGTCAGAGGCGGTGTTTTTTGTTGCAGACCTGCTGAAAAACCCTCGTGCCATCTCCAAATCATGAGGAATATTCATTTTGTGTGACAGACAATCGCCAAACATCCTTATTCTTTTTCTAAATCCAACTCAATATTTGGAGTTCCTCAGCAATAATCAGGACAACTTCTGGCTGCAGATAAACACTTGAAAAACCCTGTTTGATTGAACATTTTCATCATTTCCCGCCTCCTCCACTGCTCATATTGCCTGGGGTAATTTGAGCTCTCCAACTGTGGGCTTGCAAGGTGATTCTTTTTTTAAAAGGCGGAGATGACATCCCAAAATCTTTTCGTCTCAGCCTCGATACACAACTTGACCGAAGGATAACCATCAGTCCTCTGAGGGACACTTTTGGACCGACACACTTTCAGACACAGAGCCTCAGAGGCAGGCAGGATGGGGGACAGCTGGGTGTGTCTGAGCCCGGCCGAGTTCACCCAGCTGCAGAAATACAGCGAGTGTGAGTACACACGCACACACATGCACACACATGCACACTCATACACACCCATACACGCCTCATCACGAGGATACACTGTTGTGTGTGTGTGTGTGTGTGTGTGTGTGTGTGTGTGTGTGTGTGTGTGTGTGGTGTGGTGTGTGTGTGTGTGTGTGTGTGTGTGTGTGTGGTGTGTGTGTGTGTGGTGTGTGTGTGTGTGTGTGTGTGTGTGTGTGTGTGTGTGTGTGTGTGTGTGTGGTGTGGTGTGTGTGTGTGTGTGTGTGTGTGTGTGTGTGTGTGTGTGTGTGTGTGTGTGTGTGTGTGTGTGTGTGTGTGTGTGTGTGTGTGTGTGTGTGTGTGTGTGTGTGTGTGTGTGTGTACATGCACATGTCTGTGTGTCCAAAGGTCTGTTTGCAAAAAACAAGTAATGTGGTTTTTTTTGTGGAAACGCGTTTCTCCTTAAGTGTTTTTGGCCGTTGTAATGCATTTGCAAATATCGGCTACCGTATGTATTGATAAACTATTACAAAAATAGAATAAAATAAGGTTTATTTAGGTTTGATAAAAAAAAGTCCTTTTACCTCCAAGTCAGTTCAATAAAAATAAAAAGTTATATTCCACTTTTTTCTCACTTTTCAAATTATTTTACGTTTGCCGTTGTTTTCATTATAGCAAAGGGATAAAAGGAAATAAGCTTTCTGTCATTTTACTCACTTTACTAACCCTATCATTTACTTCATGAGTGACATTATTTTACTCCCTGTAGTTTGTATTGTAAACAACATTGCAGCAGGACTTCAGTCGTCAGTTTGGTGTCACATTATTCTTCCATGTTTGTTTTTCTTTCACAATGACACTCATTAGCCTGCAGGATGAGCGTTGTGGTTACCTACTCTCTCTAATATTTGTTAGTCAAAAGAGCATCTGTCATCTGTTTCATGGAGATGAATAGAGTCTGACACGCAACCTACCCTGCAGAGTGATTACACAATCATGCATAAATCATCGTTTTATAGACCTGAACGAGGTGTGACAGTCAGGCTGTGATTGATTGGAAAGTGTGTGTTTGGGCACACTAATGTAAGAATCTATATTTTTTGTCACTTTTTATGCACGTACTGTAGGAGAATGATGTTGTACCTGGTCCACGACTTCTTAGAGCTTGAAGGACGCCTTTATTTCCCCCCAAGGACCAACAAATAGCCACATTGTTTTCACATAGGACACAAGCAATTGTTACAGTCATTTTAAAATAAATATTCAGACATATTGTTTATTTGTATGGGTTGAGAATCAGCCTCACGTGTTTGACTCAGATGAAGAGTGTTGCGCGGCATGTTTAGTAGCTTCTGGGCTTCATTAGGCTAGTGGCTGACAAAGCGTTAGTGGGATCTTTTAGTTAGATGTTCCGGTTTAAATTCAACTAAATTCAAAGACTTCACACTGTCCCGTCTGCTGTCAAAACTTTTTAACTAAATGGACATTTCAAGTGTCTTATTCCCTGTTGTTAAATATTGGGGATTTGCATATTAATAATACATGACACTTATATAGCGCTTTTCTAAAAATGCAAAGACGCTTGATTGGCTATTAGACACTGATTGGCTGTTTGAAATATGTGACGTACAGTTGAATCTCAGACTTTTGTGAAGGGCACACATTTAGCAGAGGAATGTGAAAACACTTCTTTAGTATTTGAAACTATGAAACCATCCATTTTTTATAGTCAAGGTCAGACAATTTAGGGGACATCAATGTTTAAAATAATCACATTTCTGAGTGTACAGGATCTTCAAAGTTTGCATGTGTGAATGGTCCCTTATTATACTGGTTTTCATCGATATATAATAGGTCTCAGATATATACAGAACATGTCTCTGATTGGCTGAAACACCAAACAGATCATTGCAGCATCCCATAACCCCCTCTGTTTCAGCCGTGTTTCAAAAGTGCTGATTCTCTGTCTGTTACTTCAGATGAAAATAAGGAGCCCCTCCCCATGCCCCTCTGAGAGAGATTTGGTTAAAAAGAACACAATGGTGCTCTAGGAGGAGATTCAGGTGATAAGGTGGTGGGGGGGGTTACCTTGGTTGGTGATTGGCTAATGGTTACCAAGCCAAAAAATCGTTATATCATCAAGTGGCCAAAATCTGATCAGCTCATTTTCAGACAGGTTTTTATATAAATGGATCAGGACAAAAAGAGAGAGAATCTTTTTTCCTGAAACTTTCAGAGTCTCTTTCCACAGAGGGGACACATGCTGATGTAGAAGAGACATGAAAAAGTGGATTTTGTACAATAGGTCCCCTTTAAACTGAACACAAATGAGGACAACATTCTCCTTGAACTGTTTAAACCCTTGTGGAAGCGGACGCTGAAGTGATCTAGTCCTAATCCTCCCTCCTTCTTGCTGCTGTCTCTGTGGTGGAGCATTGTTTTGGTTTATGAGCCGGTTGCAGTGGAGACTATAATGGAAACGTGATAGATGTGCACACTGGGAAGAACCCTGCAGGCGGGGAAGGTCTGATTTTAACTGATGGTGAGGAGAGACAGGAAGCCCTGCGTATCAGCAGCAGATCAATCAAGGACTTAATGAAGGACACTGGCTGTGTTTCAGCTGCAGACACAAGTATGTGAGGGAGAAACCCTATCCTGCTGAAGAGCCAGGGTCATTAATAAGCCATGTAATCAAATACAACTGAAACCATTAGTTCATCAATCCTTCAGAAATCATTTTAGTAATTGATAACCTACCGGTTTTCAAACTATCAGGATGTCATGGTTTTGTTTGTGTTCATATTTTTGTGTTTTGGACGAAAACAACATGGCACTCTTTCACTCAACAACATTTTATTAACAAAATGATTAATGATGTGATTAGTTGGTAATGGAAATGATGATTGGTTGCAGCTTTAATACAATCATTAGAGCTGAAGCAGTCTGTTGATTTATTTATTAGTCGAACAACAGAAATGAATCAGCATTAGTTCAGATAATTGCTTTTTCACTGAAGGTATTTATCTGGCAGAGACGCCAAACAGTTCCAGCTTTGCAAGTGTAAGGGTTAGCTTCTTTACTTTAATAATTAAACTAGTTTTAGATAAATCAACTACTGTCAAGATGTCAGATTGGACTTTGGAAACATTCTGTATGACATTTTACGCTATCGTTTTTGACTTTTAATGGACAATGGAAAAAATTATCAAAAAGTGAAATTTAAAGTGAATTTTATTTTGCAGCCTTTAAATAAACTAAAAACCTCAGTTTCTCACACTGGCTGAAGCTGTGATTTTAAAAGCAAGACATTCCTGATTGTGTGACTTTATGTGTTAAGCAGCAATTCATGTCCATATACCAATGTATTTGAGTGTGATAATTTCATCGGGAAACAGTGAAAAATACATAATTTTCCAGTCATTAAAATATCGGCTAAAAGGGACACATTCTGCTGATGTTCAGGTGTATATCAGTATGTAGTGTCTATACTTTAAAGAGTCCTCTCCTGCTGATGTCCAGGTGTATATCAGTATGTAGTGTCTCTACTTTAAAGAGTCCTCTCCTGCTGATGTTCAGGTGTATATCAGTGTGTAGTGTCTCTACTTTAAAGAGTCCTCTCCTGCTGATGTTCAGGTGTATATCAGTATGTAGTGTCTCTACTTTAAAGAGTCCTCTCCTGCTGATGTTCAGGTGTATATCAGTATGTAGTGTCTCTACTTTAAAGAGTCCTCTCCTGCTGATGTTCAGGTGTATATCAGTGTGTAGTGTCTCTACTTTAAAGAGTCCTCTCCTGCTGATGTTCAGGTGTATATCAGTATGTAGTGTCTCTACTTTAAAGAGTCCTCTCCTGCTGATGTTCAGGTGTATATCAGTATGTAGTGTCTCTACTTTAAAGAGTCCTCTCCTGCTGATGTTCAGGTGTATATCAGTATGTAGTGTCTCTACTTTAAAGAGTCCTCTCCTGCTGATGATCAGGTGTATATCAGTATTTAGTGTCTCTACTGGGACATGTCTCCATGCTTTAATGTTCAAAAAGCTCTTTATTTTTCTCATACTGCCTGTGCTGCAGCACCTCTTTTCACCCTCTGTCTGAAACCAGAGCCCAGTCTGCTCTGATTGGTTAGCTGGCCGGCTCTGTTGTGATTGGTCAACCACTAAATGATGTCCTGCCCCTTATGGCGCTTTTCCACTGCAGGACCTAGTCACCTAGCACGGCTTAGTACGGTATGGTTTGGCCTTGGTAGACCAGGCTCACTTTATGCTGCGTTTCCATTACAGTTTAGTAACAGCGGTAGTAACTATAGTAACGCAGTGTAGGCGGGGCGATCGGCTGTTCGGCGGGCGGAGCGACGCTGCGTAAAACTGCCGTGACGTCATCTTCAATGCGAACCACAAAACCAAAACATCAGCCGTTAGCAGTTAGCACTCAGAGCTCACAGCTCCTCATATCTGTTCAGAAACTAGACAACAGTTAAACAAGTACAAACCACAGACTGTCTGTGTCATGGCGAATACAGTCGCTGGTTTATTTACGTATCTGTAGGCCGTTGTTGTGAGTGTCTACGGAGCATATACAACGTTAGCTTAGCCTGATCTTAAACCGTGCTAGGTGCTGCAGTGGAAAAGCGCTATAAGTCTATCACCTACAATGTGTTAGAGAGCTAGCCAATAGAAGCGCAAGTGTAACATAGTGATCTATATGTTCAGAATGTTAGTCTTTGTAGACCATTCACATGCACAAAAACCTAACACACTACAGGAAAGAAAACTCTAAAAAGCACAATAGGGCCCAATTCAATGCATTGAGGTTCATGCTCTTCTTGCTCCAGATCAATAACCCCTCTGGCAGCAGCTTGTGTTCTCTGATCACATGTCTCTCATCATACCTGTCCTCCCCTCTGTCTCGCTGCATATCTAATGCACGACAGAAATAGGGAAGCATTACCGGCTGCAAATCTGCAGAGCACTAGAAATAATGAAGTGTCGTCAGTAGTTGATTATGAGAGCTTATATGATTGGTGAACATGTGAGCGTGTGCATAATGTTGGAGCAGCGGGGTCTGTGCATGCATACGGAGACATTTGTCCCCAGAAATTGTTCAACAGATGATCGTAGGAGGAGGTCAGTTAGTGTTCTGAATCAGGGGGGGCTCTGTGGTGTGTGTGTGTGTGTGTGTGTGTGTGGTGTGTGTGGTGTGTTGTGTGTGTGTGTGTGTGTGTGTGTGTGTGTGGGTTGTGTGTTGTGTGTGTGTGTGTGTGTGTGTGTGTGTGTGTGTGTTGTGTGTGTGTGTGTGTGTGTGTGTGTGTGTGTGTGTGTGTGTGTGTGTGTGTGTGGTGTGTGTGTGTGTGTGGTGTGTGTGTGTGTGCTGTGTGTGGTGTGTGTGTGTGTGTGTGGTGTGTAGTGTGTGTGTGTGTGTGTGTGTGTGTGTGTGTGTGTGTGTGTGTGTGGTGTGTGTGTGTGTGGTGTGGTGTGTGTGTAGTGTGGTGTGTGTGTCTGGTGTGTGTGTGTGTGTTGTGTGTGTGCGTGTGTGTAGTGTGTGTGTGTGTGTTGACTAGCCTCTACCAGTGCGACAAGCACGCCATGTCCCCTTTTACTTTCCACCACCGGGTGACTCAGCCCCTCTGTAGCTGCAGTTTCTGGTGCAGATGAATATTTATCAGGACATTTTATAATGAAATGCTGCATATTAATTCAGTTTTGAGAAAAGTGTTTTATCCAAAGGAGCATTTCCTCTAAGAGATATGATTATGAAGACAGTTTATTTTCTGGAAAATGCTCTGCTGTGTAGTCGCATGGTTTTCAGAAGTGTATTAAAGAAAATGCACAAAATCTAATGACACAATTCTGCTTTTTCTCCTCCTCAGACTCCACTAAGAAGCTGAAGGATATGCTGGAAGAGTTTCACGGGGAAGGAGTTCTGTCCAAATACAATCCAGAGCAGGTGTGTTTATAACCTTCTCCATTATCCTGCAGCCACTTTATTTTCACTTGATATTCTGCACACACAAACACATGGTGTGACGCCATCAGGTGCTTCTTTGGTTTCTCTGATTCAGAGTAATCTCAGCAGAAAGCTCAGTCCTTTTGTCCCATTTTTAGAAAAGGGCCCCTGACTATAGACTGAATTTATGTTTTAAAGGTCCCATGTCATGGCCATTTCTACTGATCATAATTCCATTGTTGAGGTCTACTAAAATGTATTTATTTATATTGTGCAATTTTCCAAACTCACATTGGTTTCTCATTCAGCATCTCTGTATAGTATGTGTATTCACTCTCTGTCCTAAACGGCCAGTTGGAGCTCCTGCCCCCCCTCCCTATGAGCCCAGTGGCCGTCTGCGAGACAGCGAAACCCAGCACGAAACCAGCCCGAAACCAGCCCGAGCACACACACACACCCGCAGCCTGGCTGGGAGTTTGTGTGTGTGCTCACAGACAGACTCACAGCCTCGCCGCGTCCCGCCGTCTTAGGGAGGAGAGATCGGCGGAGCTGCAGCTGAGAAAAGATTGAGTGTGTGTGAGGAAGTCCGCGGATTGGTCAATTTGGACCAATCCATGGACTTAACGTAACGGCTCCACGGATTGGTCCATTTGGGTATGGGCACGTCACTGTACCCAGGAAGAAAACAATGGAAAAAGATAAATGTCCAACGAGGCGTTCTGGGGCAGCATAGACAGGTCTTTTCTGTGTTAGAGTTGTACTCGCTACAGGGTGTACTTTGAGGGTTTGTGACTGCAGACCGTTTACATGCAGAAAAACCTTCATAACACACAAGGGGACGGGTGATAACCAGAAAAGCATGACATGGGACCTTTAATACAGTGGTCTAGACTTATGACGATGTTACTAATAGACTTTATTCAGTTTTTACTGTCATCTCTGTTCACATTACACACTTATCTTTCTAGATACATGTTTTGCTTTACTTGCTGTGCAGTAAACAAAATACAAGTTAACATATTTGCTTTGATTACGTGTCACAATTTGAGCCTGTCTGAAATACTTAAAACATGTTGTGTTAAAATTATTATCTTAACCTACTCACTTCTTTCTTTGTTTTGTCTCTCTCATCTTATGGTGTAAATGAATGTTTGTCAGACAGCTACAAACATTTTTACGAACGTCAGTGTGAAGAACATCTATTGACTAATGGCTTTGCAGAGAGCATAGATAAAGGCTTTAGTCCCTAAATAAAAATAAAGTATGCACTTAAACTGATATTGATTTTTTTTTTAGGACTCAAATAAATAATGTTGCCTCTCCCTTCCACAGCAGTTCATCACCAAGCTTCTTCGCTGTTACTCCTTTCTCAGAACTGGAGACGTGTCGAATGCCATACTGTAGATCAGGGCTATTCAATTGGCGGCCCGCGGGCCAAATCCGGCCCCGGGGTGATATTTACTGGCCCTTTGAGTATAATGTTAAAAAGTCTATCTACCTTTTTTTTGGGCCAGAGTGCCTTTATTCCAGAGAGGGTGTTACATTGAGAGATAGAGGGGAAGACATTGCCTGAAAACTTTGGCGGGCTCTGGTTTCGAACCCACCTACTAGCTACTGTAGTGACAACTCCTGTCATTTATTGCATCTCTGCGTGAATGATTAGATAATTTCACCTAAATCAAATTAAATGATGTTGATGGTTAAATTAGCTTCACATTAGGGCTGTGCGATTATGGCAAAAATCATAATCACGATTATTTGGGTCAATAATTGATATCACGATTATTAAATACGATTATTCATTGACTTTGAAAAAATCCATTTATTGAACTTTAAAACAAATACAAATAATAATTTGAACAGTATCTTTTTAACTGTTGATTACCCTAAATGTATAATTCAACTGAAAAACCAATACAAAAATAAATGACATATTTAAATAAATAATATCAAAATAATAAATACCAATAAACAAGATCAACAAATATTTTGGAGCGCACTTCCCCAAGCTACTAAACATATATAAATATGATAAATACAAATAAATAAAAATCGTAATTGCGATTAAAATACGATTAATTGCACAGCCCTACTTCACATGTTCTGAACTTGCCATTTAGATCTATAAAGGCCTTGGGGCTATGTTGTTTGATTGAATTAAACACAATATATGCACTCCACTATGCTGTTGTAGTATTTACTGTATCTGAAGCTCTTAATATGATTGCTCATATTTCAAGCCATCTTTTTCCCGGCCCCTTGCTTTGGATCATTTTCATCAACCGGCCCCCATTCCAAACTAATTGAATAGCCCTGCTGTAGATAATAAATAATACACAAAACTATGTTGTGATTGGTCAACCGCTTACAGATGTCCCGCCCCTTAGCCTATCCCGTACTATGAGTTGGAGTGATAGCCAAGAGAAGAACAAGCAGTGGTGGTTCTAGATCAATTTGACTGGGGGGGGGCCAGTTATTTTCTGAGAGGGGCACAATAAATGCAGGACGAAAAAGACAAAGACAGTATGAAGTAATTGCGCATAAGAAAACAACGTAATACAGTTATTGGTACACATATTTATTTCAGATACTTATAGTTACACTTTTTACGCTCTAATGGGTCCGACTAGAATGACAAATAATGTTAGTTCCGCCTATTCCGTCAGCCAAGAAATCGTTTAATCATAAACTTTACATTTACAGGGGGGCCACAGTCAGTGTTACGGGGGCACTGGCCCCGCCCTGCACCCCCCCCTAGAACCGCCCCTGAGCACAAGTATTACAAAGTGATGTCATTATGTTCCAGAAGTAAACAAAGGAGGCGTTTCAGGGAGAGGGGAAGGGATTTTAGCCTCTGCAGACCATGTACATGCACAACAACCTATATAACTACAGGAAAGAGAAAACACCCTAAAAGCACAATAGGGCCTCTTTAAAGATAGTGCCTTCCATCTTCTTCCATTGCAAACATGAACCTCTGGTATTTATCCCATTTCTTTATTCCTCTCCCTCTTTATTATCACCTCCACTCTGCTGTAAGCTTCCTCTGTTTTTTTGATCACGACTAACAGCCCGGCTGGACTTTGGGCGCCATATAAATCAGATTTAATGTTCATGTATGGACCAAACCGTCACCTGGCGCCACTGTGGGCCTCTGCCATCCGTCAGTGTGTGTGTGTGTGTGTGTGTGTGCGTGCGCACCTCTAATGACTCAGTCCTTTACGCCAGCTGTAGTGGAATCTACTCAGCCAGCTGGCGACAGAAGAAAACTCTGACCTCTCTTTGGGCTTTAATTTAGTGTATTTTTAGCCAAAGTGTTGCTCTGCTTCACCTGAAGGACTTTATATAAATTATTAAGGAGAAAATAACAATGATTGACATTTGTTGCTGTCAGTCATGTTTTTTTTTTTCTCCATTTAACAAATTAGAAAACAGACATCATCTTCCCTGATTGATAAGTGACTGAGAGACGCATTACACCCACAGGGTTTTTCTTTAAAGGCTCCAACAGACATCATACATTTATATAACTTAACTGGTTTAGCAGCACACTTAATTATGTAACATAAACACATCCTACATGATTGTCACAAAAAGAAAAAAACTGCCAATGCTTTTAAAAGGTTTCTTTTTGTTTGAATGTATGATTTGTTGATGTGTCTTAAAGGTTATATTTAGTGCAGAAATGACCTGCTATGTGTCAACAACATTCAAACAAAACGAATTACAGAAAGAGAAACTTGAATTCCTAATTGATTTTAAAATCCTTTTATTTGTTTTTAAAGCACTAAATGGGCTGGCTCCGGCCTATAAAGCAGAACTCCTCCAGCGCTACACCCCAGCCAGAGCTTTAAGGTCGGCTGACCAGCTGTTGCTGATAGTGCCCAAGACCAGGCTCAAAACCAGAGGGCACCGAGCCTTCGCAGCAGCTGGCCCCAGGCTCTGGAACACTCTGCCCCTCCATGTGAGGTCGGCCCAGACCCTAGGGGTTTTTAAATCCTCACTAAAAACACACTTCTTCTCTCTGGCCTTCTAGTCAGAGCGGAGCACGACTCCTGACTTTTCCCTGTGTTTTTTATATTTCTGTTGTAAATTATTGTCTTTTATTGTGATTGTAGTAATGTGTTGTACAGCACTTTGGCTCGACCAAACATCGCTTTTAAATGTGCTTTATAAATAAAACTTGATTTGATTTGAAAGCAAGCAGCTAAAAAGTGTTTGTTATTGTAACCTGTTGAAGTTGTCAAAAAAAGGGAATTCATCTGTCTTTGCTTTTAAAAAATAACTATAATGCAGATAAAAACAGTATCTAGGGAAAAATCTCATTATACAAATGCTCTTTGCAGCACAAGCAGTACACTATTACTAAATATAAAGACGGCTCTTTTTATTTTCTCCAAGTTTTTGATTTGACTTTTTCTGACCCGTTTGTTGCACTACAATATATCTGATTAACTATAAAATGTTATGAACAGTGTCTTTTTACAGCAGGTTAAAATGTTAAATAAATAAAAAGCAATATACGTTTGATTTTGTTTAATGTTTCATTTATTATATGTACTATTAAAATCCTAAAATGTATAAAATTAAAATCCCCAATCTACGTTTTGAACCTTCATGTCTCCCCTATTAGACAAAATAGATTCAATTTATCACACATTTTACTTAACATCTTAAATATGATTTTACCAAGTGAGGGAGGGTTTACACACCTCACATTCAATATTTCAACATACTACATCATTTTTAATTTCTTCCAAAAAAAGGTACCAAATCATAGTATACTGTAAAGAAAAAGACAATCAAAACCACATTTCTAGACACTCACGTGATTTTACATGGTACAGTAGATGCCGATATGGGTCCTCAGCAGGACAGCAGCCCCTGTAGTCCCTTCCCTCTTTCATGCAAACAAGAAAGTCAATCAAACCCTCCTCACAGGCCTAAAACAAGATGAAATGAACCGTGTAAATGTGTCACAGCGGCCCTCGGGAGATGTTTACAGACAGGCAGCCGCCCACAGGGAACATCATGTGGAGGTAAATAAGACTCCGGGCTTAAGGTGTTTTCCAAAGGGACGGACATTTCCACAAAAGCATCTGTGTACACTTTCATTTAACGCTAATACATCAATGTTTTATGATGTCATTTGGAGTATAACTGGAGTAAAGAGACTGTGTGTTTTCTATGGCATGTGAGCGTACTTATCTGAACCTGCTGTTATGCACACATTATTAAATCCTCGTAGTTTGTTTGGCCAAATAAGGAGAAGAGATATGAAGATGCCTGGATCAGAGTTGGGTCAACATGGCAGATCAGAAGTCTTCAGTGTGTTCCTCTGTGATCAAGTTACAGCGTTGGGAGCATATTCCCACTAAGTCTAGACGTGCAAAAGTCATTTCCTATTAAGGTGTGAACTAAATTTACCCTGAGAGGAAAATGGTGTACTTTGCTCGTATTAAAACCTCATTATGTTTTCTTAGCTTACTTGCATTTATTTGCAGATCTGTTTTAAACCGGAGAGGAATTATTGACCACATACTTGGACTGAACTTGATAAACACTGATAGCTCTGATTTGATGTGAAGCTGAGCTTTGTTAGGCGAATAAACTTCACTTTGTTCTATTTTGGTGTGAACCACATTTTTCCTGGGAGGAAAATTGTTTACTTTGGCCACATTAAACCCTCATTATTTGTCTAATTATTTGCAGATCTGAAAGATATTCTTGACCACATACTGGAATGGATTTGGCAAACATGAATGGCACCGATTTGATCTCGAGCTGAACTAATGAGCAGATTAATCAACTAGAATATTAACCGCCTGCAGCCAGAGAATCTGAAATGGACTATTATTGATTATGATTACTTTTATATTTGGTACTTTAAATAGATTTTGAATAATAATAATAAACGTTATTTGTATAGCAGCTTTCATGCACAAAGCAGTGCTTTACAGAACAAGAAGAAAACATAACAATATTAAAATAAATACAGAACAAGATAAAACATCTACAGTGATCCTCATGAAATTCCCTTGAATTAAAGCTGACAAGAAATTAAAATAGGTTAAGATTAAAAATGTAAAATAAAAGCAAAACTGAGAAAATACAGTAAAACATGGATGATGATGAGAATTGACAGTTAACTGAAATTAAAAACCACATTGAAAAGTTTTTTATTTGCTTTTAAACATTTCAAGGGATGCATGACTTTTACTTGTAGCACAGTGTTTTGTACAATTTAGAAATCCTACTTTGATTACAAGATCTACTTTCACCACTTTGCACCCTGACCACCCCCCTCCACACGGCAGCTAACCTTCTCTTCTTCCCCCCCCCCTCACTCCTTCCTCTTCATCATTGTCCCAACTGTTAAACAGAAGCAAGACGTTCTGAACCAAGTAAGCCTCGGCCGGCGGGCTCTGCATGCTGTGTGGTGTCTGTGTCATCAGACTGCATGCACATTCTGTCCACGAACACAACATAACGCCGCTGCAGATGGTCTGTCCCCCGTCAGAGGGGCAGAGGTCACGGGGGCGTTGGGTTGAGTTGAGTGCCGCTATGCCCCCGCCACATGGCAGTGGAAGATGGTGGTGTAGCAGGAAGAAGGATAATCATAGTGTGAATATGACATGTTGCTTTCTTCTCCATCAGACTGTCAAATAAGGTTGTATCTGGACGCAGCTTCCATCACCTCCAGTCTGCTGTAGCTAACCATTAAGACAATAATCTGTGGTGGATAGTAACACCTTTACAGTAGACCTGGGCGATACGAACGGTTATATTTTGGGGTATAGTCGTCATGTAAGAGCAATAACAAAATTGTTTTCGAAAGTATCACTTTTTACGCTAGCCTGAAGCTAATGTTAGCCATATGTGTTGGTGCCACTAATAAGTCTTTACCCTCCATTTATGATAGTTTGTAAATTGACTAGTACAAAGTGGCCAAAAAACTACCGGCCCCATTGTCTGCACTTACAGTATAAGCTGAGATTCAGTTAGCGTCAGCAACAACGAGGGCTAAGCTAATCAGTTAGCGTGCTAATTTCAGTCTCTGTAGCAGAATACATAGCTGCTTTGACATAATGTCAACACTGTAGCCTCTTCACTTTCTTTGTGAATGTTTTAAACTTAAATCTTGGCCATAATTTACCACTGTACCTTTTGAATTCAATATCGACTTTAACATGAAATATTTTATCGTAATGTCTATTTCTGCTATATCTCCCAGCCCTACTTTAAAAACATTTCTGCTATAAAATCTCATGAATAGCTTCCAACCATATTGTCATTCAGCTGTTACTTTTAAGAAGATGCCGGCATGTCAATCACAGTCCAGGCTGCATACCTTCATTTCAGGCCAGATTTCATCGAAAGGAGGTCCATCGCTTCCTTCATCTCTCTCTTGTTTCCATCCATGGTTGGTGTTCACTTAATTCATTGTCCTTGAGTGTTTTGTTAACGCATACGCTCTTTGCTTCCCCATGCAGCCCATTGATTATGAGGGTTTCCAGCTCTTCATGGCCACATACCTGGAGAACGACATCCCAGAGGAGCTGTGTCAGCACCTCTTCACCTCCTTCAAGAGCAAGACCGGAGGAGGCTCCCCCGATCACTCCCGAGCAGGAACCAGTTTACTGGGTAGGCTGCTTGTATTTGTATACCTAGCGAAGTGCATTAATCTTTTTGCTTCTTTCAGAGAATGATACAACAATGCAATGATCCAGTGTACCCCTACTTTCCTTTCATCCGTGCATATTCGGTTTAAAATAAACAAAATCTGCCACAACTCTTTTGAAACAAGGTCTGGAAATGGAACACAATCCGACCCTTAAAATCATCCCATCAGAATATATGATTAAGGTACATTTGTTTAAGTAATGGAAAGTGATCAAATTGTATACAAGCAAATCTCAAACACCATACCAAGGATATCTCATGTTGAATACTGAAAAACAGGGACACCCTTACGCGTCTGTGGATTACCATATTAGTTGTTTTTTGGTGTTTCAAAAACACAAAGTCAACGCAGTTTTACACAAAATGTAGGTACTGGGAAATCTCTAATTCTTCAGCTCTTTCTACATGTTTTTTCTTACTTTTCTGAATCAGTAAAAAAGGGGCAACTATTACAGAAACTTTTTAAAAACTATAAAGATACCCTGAAAAAAAGTGTCTCCTCAGAGTCTACAATTCACCCTCTTTCTTTGCAGCAAAAACAAATAAACAATCCACAATCATGCAGATAAACACACAGACAGGCATATTCACCCATCACTGTTTGCTTGAGGGTTTCACGCTGAGCAGAGCAGAGGTGTTCAGGTGCTGTAGGTCGTTTGCACCTCGCTGCAGGTGCAAACTGTGTCCCTCCATCCATCCATCCGTCCATGTGAGCGCTGCGTGGCCCCGGGGCCTGAAGTCTGCTCCTCTCTGAGAGCAGCTGAGCGGACAGATGGACGGATGAACTGAGAATCTATTTCTGTGGTGGAGAGCTTGTAAAAGTTAAGAGGCAACAAGTGCAGCGAGGCCAAAATGTCAGTGACTTTGTGCAGCATCATTGGCTGAGAGTCGCAGTTAGTTTATGATGTCCTTGCTTTCACTTTTTCACTTTTGGCGACTTTCTAGTTTGTGAGCATTACGAATGATCTGATGAACTCAGAAAATGTGTTCTTTCAGGGGGGTTTTAATAAATGAAAGGTGCCCTGTAGAGTTTCCCTGTGGAAATTCAGTTTTATTTATGATTGTTTGAATTCTTGAGGCATGACAAATGAATATTCAATACATATTTTTGAGGGCTTCAGATAACATATATTGTCAGTACAAATTGCCTTTATAATTGTCCAGCTAAGCTAAGCCCAGCCAACCACCTCTCCTAAATATAATCATGTTGATATCATACATGACTTCAAAGTAGATGATCCTCTGATGCTGTAATCAAAGTGTTTGGAATATATATATTAAATACTCAAATGATTTATCCTCCGAATAGTTGCTGGTTCATTTCCTGTCACCTGACTAATTAGTACATTGACTATTTATTTTAACAGTTTATTAGAATATAATATAAGGTCAGTAGACTCTTAACCCTTAGATGCACGAGTGACTGGACCCTACTCTCTTCCATAAGTGGGTCAAAAAGGACCCGTATTAGAATAATATGTGTTTTTATGCCATTTTTGTCATTTTGGTTAAGAAAAATCACTTGTATAATATTTAGTATTATATTTTGGTTCACACTAGAAATATTTTATATTTAATTTTTCACTATTTATAATTTTAGACATTTTTCTTACATTTTGAAAAGAAAACGAAATTCCATAGAAAATGTATGCGGGTCATTTTTGACCCACTTATGGAAGCTTGGGGTAGTAATACAAAAACTACAATTTCTTAAAATGTCAATTTAAAATTTGAATGGCATGATATCCAAAACATGTTTTTTGAGGAATAGCTGGAATATGAAATGATAATAAAATGTAATAATTACAAAGATACTTCAAGAAAACCACCTCACCGGGTCAAAAAAGACCCACTTGGAAGCTTGGGGTTAACCGGGTTCCCTGCAGATCCTTAAAAAGTCTAAACATCCATTGAATTCATTTATAAAAAGAATGCCTTCAAATAAACAGTGTATGCTATGACAAAAGATTTGGAGGAACCTTGTAAACAAATAAAATTCATCTTGAATGGTAATGCCGCTTCTTTTTCTGTAATTTGCTAATTGCTTCCATTGTAATCAACTCAGTGTTTATATAAAGTCAAATAGACATTGTGGCAAAACATCTAGAGATATATAAATCAATCAAATAATCAAATAAATAAAAACAGAGGATGTGTGATGGATAATGATCAGGGTGGATATGCGAGTGTGAAGAGATGTGTTTTGAGACGTGATTTGAAGATGGGGAGAGAGTCAGTGTTTTGCGGATGTCAGGTGGGAGAGAGTTCCAGAGGCGGGGTGCAGAGCAGCTTAAGGCTCTGGACCCCATGGTAGTTAGGCGGGGTGCAGAGCAGCTGAAGGCTCTGGACCCCATGGTAGTTAGGCGGGGTGCAGAGCGGCTGAAGGCTCTGGACCCCATGGTGGTTAAACGGAAGGGGGGTGCAGTGAGGTGGAGGGAAGCAGAAGACCTGAGAGCGTGGATGGGTGTGTTGATGTGCAGGAGGTCGGAGAGGTACAGAGGAGATTTGACGGGGAGCCAGTGAAGTTGCTGAAGAACAGGAGTGATGTGGTTAATGGAGGGGGGGGTTCTGGTGATGATGCAGGCGGAAGAGTTCTGGACCAGTTGAAGTTTGTGGATGGATTTGACAGGGAGACCAAAGAGAAGAGAGTTGCAGTAGTCAATGCGGGAAGTGACCAGGGTGTGAACAAGAATGCCGGTGCTCTTAGGGTTAAGGGATATATATATATATATATATATATATATATATATATATATATATATATTCCCATGTCAGACAGGGATATCCTTTTTTTGATCCTGCAGGTAAACAGATGCAGTTATAAGGCTTTGAGTGTGTGTGCAGTGTGTGAATTAGCAATGGCAAAAATAGATCAGTACTACTTAGAAAGCCAAAATAAATGCTTAGAGACATGCTTAGTAAAATGTATTTTAAAAAAAAAGAAGCACGACACAGTTCAGTGATTCTGAGGCTGCGTCAGTGTGTGTTTAGGTTTATTTCTCATTGTGAGTCAGCTGATAGAGCCTGCACTGACACCTGGTGGACATGAAAAATAATACAAGGAAGACAAGAGACCACATTGCAGAGACATCTATTGTCCGCAATTACGTTTGAAAGGTGACGACAGATGATGGACTTTTTTTTGTTGAAGATATTTTTTCTTTAATCTAAATTACATTTGTGATTGACAATCTTTGTTGTGATAATTTTATGAGCATAAACATTTACGTCATCAACATTTGGTTGAAAACAAAATAGGCCAACACAAACGTGACCAAAAAATGAAAAATAAAATTGATTTGGCAAACAATGGTGTATTATTTCAGTTAACAAACGTTGCCATCTTATTTATATTGAAACATATTTTAAAATAAATTGTACAGTACATTTTGCTCTGGTAATCCACTGGAGATACACCCCTCTGGTGGGATCAAGATAATCCAGTTGTTTGGGATCAAACTGATCCCAATCCTGTGTTGTCGGTTTGAACTACCCGTTTTGAAGATTTAATAATAATAATGCATTTATTTTATATAGGCGCCTTTCAAGGCTCTCAAGGTCGCCGTACAGACACATCAAAAACAAGATACACAATACATAACACCAGCATAAGAGACATAAACAAGACAATGCAGTATATAAATCAATCAAATAACCAAATAAATAAAAACAGAGGATGTGTGATGGATAATGATCAGGGTGGATATGCGAGTGTGAAGAGATGTGTTTTGAGACGTGATCTGAAGATGGGGAGAGAGTCAGGCCCAATCCCAAACCGCCCCCTACACCCTACCCCTACACACTACCCCTCCGTTTGCGCGTTCGCGCGGAGGGTCCGCCACATTAAGTGCTGTTCCAAACCAACGAGTGTGGAGCGGTGTGGAGGGGGAGTGGGCTATCAAGCCATCAAACAGTGAGTCTGCATCGGTGCTGACTTGAGACCGGTCTCTACCTGACCGGTCTCAACGCTGTGTGTGTCCGTCAGGAAACACGCTGTTTACAAACAGTTCCAGCAAACATCCACTGATAAACTGCGATGTTGACAACCTCATGATAACCTCATGTGTTTTTACTCAGGATCGTATACCTGTGTTTAGTCTAGAAAAAGGTAAGTGTGTGCATTTTATTATAAAGTTGTGTATATTTACAGACTGTTGCAAAAACTAAGAAGCTTATAAACATCAGGTTTAAAACTAAAAGAGCTTTACAGAAAAAGTAACACAATGAAAGATGTTTGGAGTTTTATTTTAGTTATTCATTTTAATTTGTTGTCTAAGAGATGCTGATTTGAAACCGTTGTTACATACAGTTACGGCATTTCCTGTTTCTGCCGGAGAGAGGGGAGTTTGTCCCAAAGCTTGCCGCTGTATTTACTCCCTCCATCTGACAGGAGGGAGCCTCGTTGAGCTGCGAGTGTGGCTACAGACAGAGTTCACTCCGTCACGGAGGGGTAGGGTCGAGGGAGTGGCTTGGGATTGGGCCTCAGTGTTGCGGATGTCAGGTGGGAGAGAGTTCCAGAGGCGGATTAATCCAGATTAAAGCTTGGATTTGATTTCTTGATCTGATCAGATATAAAAGTGATCCTAATCCTGTTTTTTGGTTTTGAACTACCCAAAATCCAAATCTGATCCCATCAGATAGGGATTACAAGTGTTGAACTACTGGGAGGCCAGAAGTCAGATTGAAGACACAAATGCATTATGTTGTTTCCATGCTGCATGAATATCTGTAGAGAATGTTTCATTTGATATAATGCAATGTTTTCTGTTACCTAACACATACCTAGTAGTGGACAGTAACTAAGCCCATGTACTCTTATACTGTACTGAAGTACAAGTAAAGGTACTTATTTTTTGAAGCGTTATTTATTTCCTGTTACTTTGTACTTCTACTATACTTCTCAAATTCAGATGTGAATATCTGTAAATGTTTACTTCTCTCCATTTGACTGCTTTATTTTACATTGCAGATTCAGATTTAGACATACACAACACAACACATCATTCAACTTTATTAATGAAGCAAATTCAAAAGCCACACATCATTGTATATATAATAAAACATAGCTTCTCCTTTATAAGCTGCACCATTTAAGTGATTAAATCAATATATCAACACAAAAATATAATGGGTTTTTTTCTGCTACTGTGTAAACATGTAATTGTAGGACTTTAAAAATACTCTGGTATACGCTAAACTGTGGTATTACTACTTTTACTTCAGTATCCTGAACTCAATGTGGAGAACAATAAAGTTATAGTCAAATTCATTCATTTAAATGTTCTTCATTTATTTAACGCAGAAATGTGAGTGTAAATTGCTCACAATATAATGATCAGCATTATTATGTCAACACAACTCATTAAAATAATGTTTGTAACTCAACCAATACATTAGAAATTATTCTCTTGCAACCATTTCATTAAGTATTTGATAAGTATTTTTCCACCACTGCATACATCAGAGGCCTCTTTTAGGAGGCTTAGCTAAAAGGTCTGTTATTCTCATGTATATATATATATATATATATATATATATATATATATATATATATATAATCCTGTCTCCCTGATAATTGCCTTGTTGTTTTGAACCCATGCGGTTTCCGTAAACACTGCTTGTCTGTTCTCAGATGCTATATATAAATATATGTGCAGAGCATAAAGCAAACTCTTTCTCCACTCGTTCTCGCTGCTGCTGTTGTTCCCCTGCGAACACTGACTGACTGCAGACGCCCGCTCCATTGACGCAGGCATCTCCATTCAGACTGAAGTGGCCTGTGCCCCCATCACAGGTAGCCGTTTCCCCAGAGACCCTCAGCGTAAAGCGGACTGAAACCCTCCTCCTGCTGCCCTCTCTGTGCTCTTATTGTGCTGATGTGACTCTGATGTGATGTGACTCTCTGGTGTTCTGCCTGTGGATCAGTGGATGACGTTGCTTTGTGAATTTGTGTAAGGTTTTAACGCGGTGTTGTATCTGCTTCTTGTACCTCTATGCAGTTGTTGTTGTTGTTGTTGTTGTTGTTGTTGTTGTATTTGTATTGTAAGGTTTTACAGTGTTCATTTTGTGTTGCTCCTTACTGTTAACGAGCTTCCCTCTTCATACAGTAACGTTCAACATTCTGACAAAACCCAATTGTCCTTTACAGAAACGTACTGTATTAAAGGGAAGCTTCTGGATCAATCAAAGTGTACGCCGTAAAGGATCTCGGTCTCAATGCGGATGTAGTCTTAACGTTTTTTTAATGTAAAAAATAATTTTGTCAGAATAAGCTTCCACATTTTCTTTTTTTTACTGATTGTTAAATATGTAAACCTTTTGTCCGTTTATTGTTACTTCATCCATTCGAGTGTACTGAACATGGGTTTGGTTGGAACTATTAGATTACGCAAAATATTTGTGAAAAAATTATGAATATAAGAAACCTGACATTAAATTAAAAATAATAATAATTACAGTCCACTTCAAAAAATATATCTGGACCTAAATTATGTTTGTTTCTGCAACCACTTAAATATACATACTTTTTAATTCAACACACTTTTTTTTTTCAGTGTAATCTTATCGAATGCTATTTTGCATTTATTACTTCACCTTTCATGTTAATATCTGGGTCATGTGACCTGCCTCCCATTGGCTATTCCCACTATAGCTGAGGCTATTCAAACATGTTGTGTTTTTGATGATTTAGCCACTAAAACAAAGGATTTTTTATTATTATTTCGTCATCATTGTTACTTGTTCTTATATATAGGAGTCCTGTTGGATAAAATGTATAGATAGATAAGTACTTTATTGATCCCAATTTGGGAAATGTTTGCGTTGCAGCAGCATAGAAATTAAGACACTAGAAATATAAATAAAATAGCATTAAAAAGTAAAAAAATATACATGTGGAAAATTTCCAGTAACAAATATAATGCAGGATATTATATATACATTAATTGTGCAAGAAATTGATTATTCAATATGAAATAGAATATGAATGTAAAATGTACAGTGTGAGTTTAAGTCCAGTTATTAAGAGAAGCTCTGGAGCAGACAGTTCTCTTCCGGCCCGAGGTGATTTGTGGTACAGAGTTATTGCAGTGGGCAGGAATGTGTTCCTGTATCTGTCCTTGTGACAGCGTATATTTAACGTATTCTTCTTCCTCCTTTTTCTTCTCCTTCTTCCTCCCCCCCCCCCCCCCCTCTTTCTTCAGGGATGAATGGTAAGAGCATCCTGTCAGCGATGGGTCGTCACACCCCCGATCACTCTGCAGTGATGACCACAGCGAGCTCCACCTCCCCCTGTTCCTCTCGCTCCTCCTCTCAGCGCTCAGGGAAGGGGGCCCAAACACCGGGGGGGCCCCATCGGTCCCCCTGCTCCCAGGTCAGATCCTCAGAGGCCGGCTGCAACGCCCTGACCCCCAACTCTGGTCCTGCCCGGGCCCCTGCCTCCCCCAAACTCTCCCCAGGTTAGCTCAGCGACACTCAGAGCAATTCAATTCAGTTAAGTTCAAAGGTTGTATTGTCATATAGCTACAGTGTAGAAATGGAAATGAAATTCTTCTGAACCTGAGCTCCTCCAACGATGCAACATATATAATAAAATACAAAAATACAAAATAAAAAGTAGTACAACAAGTCTATATACATGTCAATAGAATATTAATTTAAATAATGTAAATTAAGACAATCCATTTCAATTTAAAGAATAAATATTGTACGTTCAGTTACTCATGTGTGTCTTTACGCTTTAACAAAACAAAGGTAAAAATGTGAAGCAACCTCGGAAAAAATGCAAATATTTGTAATATAAACTGACTTTTGAAATAAGATGAAGTGAATACAAATCTGTAACTTTTAAACACAGGAATAATGACAATATTTTTGTTATAATTAAATCAATACGAGTATCTTGTCTATAAAGATTGCCAAATATATTTAATATTTGCAACTTTTTGTCATAAATGTTGGACATACTGTATTTGTGATAAACTGAAAAAAGTTGTTGCGTGTTGTTCCTCCACAGAGAGGAGTCGCTCTGAGAAGCATCTGTCGCTGCGGAGGAGCCCATCGCCCCAGAAGGGAACCCCCCTGCCGGCGCCCCAGGTGGTTTTCCTGAAGGACATTGTCTGCTACCTGTCGCTGCTGGAGAGGGGGACGCCGGAGGACAAGCTGGAGTGTGAGTGACGGGGAGGGGGGGAGGTTGAACCCAGGAACAATGTTTCTGTCCCTCCTCAGGGGGTTTACAAACTGTGATTACACACAACAAGTACTCAGATCCTCTATTGAAATATAGAAAACACAAACGGTTGTATGAATTGTAGAGTCAATCAGTCACAATCAATCTCCGGAGATGAAAGAACTGATGCCAAGAGCTTCCTCCTATTCTCTGGAGGGCAAACATTTTGCTCATCTTCAGGTTCATATTTGAACTACTCCATGCTTTAATGTTCAAAAAGCTCTTTATTTTTCTCATACTGCCTGTGCTGCAGCACCTCTTTTCACCCTCTGTCTGAAACCAGAGCTCAGTCTGCTCTGATTGGTAAAGTAATGTCACTACACAATATTCAAGTAGTAACAAAAGGAGGTGTTGCAGGCAGTGTGGGAGAGAAACTCCCTCTGGATGTATCCACATGCACAGGAACCTATATAACACACTGCAGGAGAGGGAGAATAGGGCCTCTTTCAGGTCTCAGGCTAATCTCTGCTAACTACCCGATGCTGGAAATAGCTGCTGCTCTTCACCCTGCAGCCATCAGAGGAACAAATGTTAGCGGGTAATTATCCGAGTCATCATGAGATCTTCTTTCCTCTCCCTCTAGTCATGTTCAGGCTGTACGACACAGACGGCAACGGGGTGCTGGACAGCTCGGTGAGTTCCTCTTCTTGGTTTGGTTTCTCACCCTCTCATCTTTCTGTCTCCCCCCCCCCCCCCCCCCCCCCCCCTTAAAACATTTTTAGCATTGTTTTTCCCAATGTCATTTTGACAACCACCAGACTCAGAGTTTCACTCCACAATGACACTGCTAAACACCTTGAATCTAGAATCTAGAAATGCAAAGTAAAATACATTCTTAAAACCTGTCCCTTATAGTCTTCAGTATAATTACAAAGGGTATCTGATAGTGTGTTTATACCTTAAACCAAACTGTATCCTAACCTTCTGTATCTCCTCACTAACGGCAGTAGCATAGCTAGCACATAAGGTTAATGAGTTACAGTTATAATGTGATTTTGAGGTTGTGTTGTTTACCTGTTATTGGTGGAGCTGGAAATGGTACGATACACCACAGCTATATTTAGATACGCACAATTAAACAATAATACACTTTGTAATGTAATACTGTTGCATGTAAACATTATTATTAAAGTGTGATAAACACACATGATTGGCGCCATTACTATGATATCTAAAAAAAACATTTTTTTATGAAGGTTAAAATACTTATGTTTTGATTAGCGCATTATTTCTGACAGACGATTGCCTGATTTTGGATTATTAGGGTCATTATATAATATGTCATTTTGACATATTATTATATAATGATACTTATAAAAAAAAAAACATCCTCCCCTCGGTCATGAACCTTGGAGTGACCTTCACTAGCACTTTTAAATTCGACAAGCAGGTCAGCACCGTAGTAAAATCCTGCTTTTTTTAAAATAAGACTATTGGCCAAAACCAAGTCGTATTTATCTTTTAATGACTTAGAAAGGGTTATTAACGCCTTTGTAACCTCGAGACTGGACTATTGTAACGCTCTATATGTGGGTATGGACCAGGCCTCAATTAAACGCTTACAGCTAGTCCAAAACGCTGCTGCACGTTTGCTGACTGGCCACAAAAAGTGTGACCACATCACCCCAATTCTGGCCTCACTACACTGGCTTCCAGTTCGGTTCAGAATTGATTTTAAAATCCTTTTATTTGTTTTTAAAGCACTAAATGGGCTGGCTCCGGCCTATATAACTGAACTGCTCCAGCGCTACACCCCAGCCAGAGCTTTAAGGTCTGCTGACCAGCTGCTGCTGGTAGTGCCCAAGACCAGGCTAAAAACCCGAGGGCACCGAGCCTTCGCAGCAGCTGGCCCTAGGCTCTGGAACACTTTGCCCCTCCATGTGAGGTCGGCCCAGACCCTAGGGGTTTTTAAATCTACACTAAAAACTCACTTCTTCTCTCTGGCTTTCTAGTTAGAGCGGAGCACGACTCCTGACTTTTCCTTGTGTTTTATTTTTATTTTGTTTTTTAAGACATATCTGTTGTAATTTATTGTCGTTTATTGTGATTTGTAGTAATGTGTTTTTATTACATGTACAGCACTTTGGCTCGACCAAAAATCGCTTTTAAATGTGCTATATAAATAAAACCTGATTTGATTTGATTATGCACTTCTCATATAATTCAGTGTATTTTTCCTCTCTCTTTTATGAACTTAAATAACTTCATTTACCTTACTAATCCTTGACTTTAATGTTGACCAGAAGCATGTCTTATGCCTGCCATTAATGTTTGAACTGCATGAGTTTATTATTTTGGCAGAAGGTAAAGTAACGCTGTCCTTTATGTTGTATCTTTCTGATTGTAGGAGCTGGACCGCATCATAAATCAGATGGTGCACGTGGCAGAGTATCTGGAGTGGGATTCAACTGAGCTGCGACCGGTGAGCACACCCTCAAGAGAATAACGTCTGAAGCTAAAACAAGAAGAGAAATGTAAACAGTCTCTCTATGAAGGTTTGGTTCTTATTTACTCAGACTTTATACCGGCTGAGTTTCAAGTGACACCAAGAAAATGGATTTTAGGTTCAGAAAAGGAGGGGAAACAAACAGAAAGTAGCTTCTCACTGAAGTGTTAGAAAGACAAACAGCTGGCTTGTTTGAAGATGAACATGAACCTTTATTTACCCCCCTGGGGGAACATTTAGTTTGCACCTGATCTCTAGAAGAAATGTACTTTGTTCTCGTGTTCAAGAGTGTATTATTTGTATTTGTATTATTGTCTGTTGCTGTAGATACTGAAGGAGATGATGGAGGAGATTGACTACGACGGAGATGGGACGGTGACTCTGGAGGAGTGGATCAGAGGAGGCCTCACCACCATCCCTCTGCTGGTGCTGCTGGGCATGGAGACGGTGTGGGTGTGTGTGTGTGTGTGTGTGTGTGTGTGTGTGTGTGTGTGTGTGTGTGTGTGTGTGTGTGTGTGTGTGTGTGTGTGTGTGTGTGTGTGTGTGTGTGTGTGTGTGTGTGTGTGTGTGTGTGTGTGTGTGTGTGTGTGTGTGTGTGTGTGTGTGTGTGTGTGTGTGTGTGGTGTGTGTGTGTGTGTGTGTGTGTGTGTGTGTGTGTGTGTGTGTGTGTGTGGTGTGTGTGTGTGTGTGTGTGTGTGTGTGTGTGTGTGTGTGTGTGTGTGTGTGTGTGTGTGTGTGTGTGTGTGTGTGTGTGTGTGTGTGTGTGTGTGTAAAAAAATCAGATGTAATGTTCATGTATGGACCAAACCGTCACCTGGCGCCACTGTGGGCCTCTGCCATCTCTGTGTGTGTGTGTGTATATACTGACAGCATACTTAAAATAAAATGGTCACAACCTGGCTTGTAGGTCTTGACGACAACAGAAAAGGACACAATTGATGCTGGTTAATTGAAGTGTTTAAAGCAAAGTAATACAGGAAAAATACCAGTCTGTGTGTGCCTCAGTAACATCAGTTGTGTAGATGTTAATAATGTGTGAGCATAATGACACACTGCGTTTATTCCCGTGGTATGTTTGCACCCCTGGGGCTGTGAATTGGTGTTGCCTTCAGGGACAAAGGGAAAAATAGTTACAACTAAAACACAGTTCAGAGCCAAGGCAGGAGCCGTCACAATAACTTTTTATTTTGGTTGTATTCCATATAACTGCTCTTACTGTTTAAACTGTTAATACCCGTATACAACTACACAGCTCTTACTGTTTATACCACATATCACCCCAAAACAAATCTTAATTTGACTGCTTTTTGCACTTAGAATAGATTCAACTGGTTTGATGCTTGGGTGCATTTCACAGTCATCTTATGTTATTCCTTAATATATTTTTAATTGAGCTCATTTCAAACACGGCCCAAATTAGTTTTGCACCAATAATGTGCATGCTGGTTCGGGTTAATGTTTATTTAAGAATCCTCTGAACTATACTATGATTCCTAGGAGAAGAAAAATAACCAAAATCATTACATTTCAAACTACTATAAGGACAGTTTCGATGCTTCATGTGTTTTTTATTGTCTCCTCACAGAACGTACAGGAAGACGGCCAGCATGTTTGGCGTCTGAAGCACTTCAACAAACCGGCGTACTGTAACTACTGCCACACCATGCTGCTGGGGGTCCGCAAACAGGGCCTCTGCTGCTCCTGTGAGTCTCCGTCTCTCTCTCTGTCTACATCTCTTTGTCTCCATTTTACCCAACGTCCTTTCTTCTTCCACCCTGTTATTATCTCTTTGTCAGTCGGCACCAGAGGTGGAAGAAGTACTCAGGTCTTGTACTTAAGTAAAAGTAGAAGTACCAGAGTGTAATAAAGTAAAAGTCCTTCAATCAAAATGTTACTTAAAAAATTATAAAAGTATTATCATCAAAAGATAGTTAAAGTAGCGACAGTGATTGTGCAGATTGGTCCATTTCAGAATAATATATATGATATGTTTTATAATGATTGATCATGAAAGTGTTCTCAAAGCTGGTAAAGGTGCAGCTAGTTTTAATGACTTGCAGGGTAGCTTGTGAATTTACTCCAGGTGGAACTAAAGTCTGATTTAACACTTGATTATATTTCACATCATTCATCCAGATCTGTAAAGTAACTAAAGGTATTAAATACATGTAGTGGAGTAAAAGTACACCTTTTACCTCTGAATTGTAGTGGGGTAGAAATACAAAGTAGCAAGTGCCTCAAAATAGTACTGTACTTGAGTAAATGTACTTAGTTTACTTTTACTTATTAATGTACACACAATGTACACTATATCTGTTTTCTTGTCTTTTTTATTACTGCCGATTTTTCATTCCATTCCATTGCAATGTAAATACTGTTATATTTGACTATATTTGTATTATATTTTTTATTATTTTAATTTTAATATTAATGTTTTATTTTTATGTACGCACCATGACGTCGAGTCAAATTCCTCGTAGTCCGGCAGTGGCTCAGTCAGTAGGGGCTTGGATTGGGAGCTGTAGGGTCGCCGGTTCAAGTCCCCGACCAGACCTAAAATACTATTTGGAGAGGTCCCAGTTCACCTCCTGCCCTGCCGTGGTGCCCTTGAGCAAGGCACAACCCCCTTCCCCCCTCACTCCCATTGCTCCCCGGGCGCTGTACAATAGCTGCCCACTGCTCCTAGTACTAGACTCCTGGTACTCGGATGGGTTAAAAGCAGAGAACACATTTCACTGTGTGTGCCGTGTGCTCTGCATGTGAGAGGGGTTCATCCCTCCCAATTCTATGTGTAAACCTACCTGGTAATAAAACTAATTCTGATTCTGATTCACACCACTTGTCAGGACTCATATGTCCTAGTTTGTTTAAAGTAGCATTTCATGTCAAACATTTCTGAGTCTTGTTAATGATGTAAAGTATGCAGACTTTTACAAACTCTTGTCTCTTTGTTTTTCCCACAGTATGCAAGTACACGGTGCACGAGCGCTGTGTGTCCAAAGACATCGCCGCCTGCATCAGCACCTACGCCAAGTCCCGCAGACACACCAACGTGAGTACACACACACACACACACACACACACACACACACACACACACACACACACACACACACACACACACACACACAATAAGGGTTAACTGTGCACATGACTCAGTGCTGATAGCATGCACTGATGCTGCAGGCAGTGAGACAGGAACACTGAGCGCTCTGTTAACAGGCAGAGAGCATCATGGGATTGTTTATGCAATGTCTTTTATCTGTCCAATATCCTCTGTACTTCAGCTTTGATGTGATTAGGCTCTATAAAGTAGTTCCTCTGCGTCACATGGTCATTACCGTGTATATGGCGCTTTCTTCAGTTCTGAGTTGGGACATAAACCTGCGTCAGTCGTTAACCTCGTGTCAATTTGCTTTTGTCACATTCGCCAAGGAGGAAACGTTTTCAGTCAGTTTGTTTGTTTGTTTGTCAGCAGGCCAGTTCTTTATCTGTAAATAACAATTGTAAATCCTCCAATACTTATTTATGTAATTTAACTAACAAAAACACTAAACCTTTAACTTTTTATGTCCCCAAACATATTAGAATTGAATGCTTTTCTCTTTGGAAATCATTTAGACAAAACAAGCCATTTCAAGAAGTACAGTTCTTTAAACATTTCAAATATTATCAATATTTTGGGTCATCTTTAGACGATTAATTGTAAGACAAATATACAGTAAGGTTTGTTCGTTTGTTTGTCAGCGGGCCAGATTCTTTTTTTCAAGGGTTACATCCTCAAATAATTATATACAAAAACACTAAACATGTCCCTTTTGATGCCCCTAAAATGATGACAATTTGAGGCTTTTCAAATATTCTAGACAAAACTATCCATTTCACCATGTGACATTTTCAACATTTATTTATCACTATTCTAGGACATTGTTACGTGATTAATTGGAGGAAAAGTTTTCAGTCAGGTTTGTTTATCAGCAGGCCTAATTTTTTATGAAACTCTGTGGAAAGGTCAAAGAAGATCCCATTAACATTTGGAGCGGATCTGAATCACGAGGCGGACACACAGATTATTTTTCATTTGTGTTCAACTGCGAGATACGGGATAAGGCCTTGGTGGAGGTCTGCACTCCAAAGTGCACTTTTTAGTTTCGTTTTTTAGGATGTAAGTCTATTAATGAATGAACCAATTGACTTTTTATTGAATTGAATGTTCTTGTTTGATATCCTGTTAATACATATGAGCATTTTGGAGCAGACCCAACGACTGCTTCTCTGTAGTTGTTGTGCAAATCAACAATAAACTAGACAGAAAATAAAATATGAAATCCTCCAGTACCGACTTAAGTTATCCAACTAACAATAACATTTGTGACATTTGATGCTTTTCTCTTTGTATTTAAACAAACATTTTCAGTTGTAACTTTTTAAGACTTTTTAGTATTTTTTCTACAATTTTTTTGACATTGTCAGATGATTTAAAATCTTACGGTTGATCAATAGTAATTGCAGCCCTGAAGCCTGGGTTCCCAAAACACAAAACTGTATCAGCTTGTTTCTACTTTGCTTGTTTTTACTTCTGTGAAAGCTTAACAAGAATAAAGTCCTGTGTTTATTGTGTGCAACAAACTCACAAAAAGCTCCATGTGCTGTTGTTGTTTTTTTGTCTTTGTTTTTGTGCTCCATTCATGTTTTGTTTCTGTCCAGTTAGTGTTTTGGAGGTCTAGCTTTTAATCATCAAAGTTGCATTTGTTTGTAATATTTAGTTTGTTACATATATCTTAAATTATATTTGCATCTTGACTAATTTGAGAGCATGATATAACTTTTTAAATGCTAAATAAGCTTACCTCCAGCTCTCTCTCTCCCGGCCTGCAGGCGATGCAGCACGTGTGGATGGAGGGGAACTCTCCCACTAAGTGTGACCGCTGTCACCGCAGCATCAAGTGTTACCAGGGCCTGACCGGGCTGCACTGTGTGTGGTGTCAGATCACTGTGAGTACACACACACGCACGCAGGCACACACGCAGGCACACACACGCACGCACGCACGCAGGCACACACACACTCGCACTCACTCACTCACTCACTCACTCACTCACTCACTCACACAAACACACACACACATACACTCGCACACACACACGCAGGCACACACACACTCGCAGGCACACACACACACTCGCACACACACACTCGCACACACACACACACGCACGCACGCACGCACGCACGCTCACTCACTCACTCACTCACTCACACTCACTCACTCACTCACTCACTCACTCACTCACTCACTCACTCACTCACTCACACACACGCAGGCACACACACACACACGCACGCACGCACGCACGCACGCTCACTCACTCACTCACTCACTCACTCACACACTCGTAGGCACGCACACACACTCGCACACACGCACACACACTTGCACACACACACACACACACACACACACACTCGCACACACGCAGGCACACACACACTCGCAGGCACACTCACACACATGCACACACACACACTCGCACACACACTCGCACACACACACACACTCGCACACACGCAGGCAGGCACACACACACACACTCGCACACACGCAGGCAGGCACACACACACACACACACACACACACACACACACACACACACACACCAGCTAACACTTACATCTGCAGAGGCCTTATATCAGGGATGGGCAACTTGGATGGTGGTGGGGGCCACATCATTTATGTACTGGCCACCAGGGGGCCGCAGATTCACTTGGAACACACACCCACACACACACAAATTCCATGTATTGTATGTAATTATTAACAAATATACTAAGTCTGACATCTTCATTGACATTTTACAATCTTTCAGGGAACATCCTCTAATAAGCTCACTAAACAAATATCAGTTCACAGAAATGTTATTTAATTTTTACAAGTGGCATGTTTGTATTGAACAGGTTATTTAACAGTGGAATAAAACTATTTTTAAACTATTGGAAAGCACGGAAAATGGTGTACATTGAGATTAAACATTAAGATGACATAAACATGAAGTCATGAACACTAACCCAGACATTAGTTGTCTAACTTGAACCTAAGACACTTGTAGCCTGTCTCTGCATTCCCCTTCAACACAGACACCTGTCAACCCGCACTCTGCTGTTCCTCAGCGCCGCTCCCCCTCCCTCCCGCTGAAATTATGAATGAAAAGCGTGTAGTAATCATAGATAACACGGCAGGGTCCGTGACAGTTTGTTTTCATCTGATTTCAAATAAACAAAGTCTTGGTTTTTAGAATATTAAACTTGTTTCGCCAAATTCAGATGATAAATACAACTTTGAAGCTTGTAAAGGCATAATTACAAGCGGTAACTTAACGTCACAGCAGGCATAACAACAGCCGGTGTTTCTTGTGAGTGTTTCCCCGGGAAACAAACACAATACACACAAACGCGTCACCGATTATTTTGCGGTATTTGGCTGCCCAACGAAATCATGTAGGCAGCTCGCGACGTAACTAGGAGTCTAGTGAACGGTATCAGTACTAGAAGTAAAAAAAAAAAAAAAATTCATTTATTTTTATTAATTACGTTGTTTATAAATTAATCTGAGGGCCGCAAAAAGAGGAGGTGGGCCGCCATTTGCCCATCGCTGCCTTATATGATACCCTGTATCGACCAATATAAAAGTAAGTAAGGTAGGTATAGGTGTATGTTATATTATCAAAAGATCCATTGAAGAGTATTATTATTTGTGTATTCAACTCCACTTTTAGTGCATGACATAATACAATTGTTTATAAATGTTAAACAATGAGTTATAGCCAGTGTTCGAATGACCCATTTGCTTTCGGGGGAGCCCTATTTTTTTTTTCAGGGCCCTCGGTGTGGAGCTGTCAAACTCGACCCTAACGCTGCTTACAGCCGGCCAACTAAAAGTTGTTCCATTCACGTTGTCATTTGTAGACTCCTCCGCTTCTTTGCTTGTGAATCCAAAAGCTGCGAGGCTTGGCTGTTTTCGTTTCACCATATTTTTTATTACAAAGCCAGAGTTAAAAAAATATGAATATGAACAAATTCAAATACCGCGCCGGCATCGCCACCGTAACCATAGCAATGTAAGTAGCGTAAAGAATGCAGCGCCGCCACGTACAGATGGCAACACCCAGAAATATTCACAAATATAAAACAAATATTCAGAAACTGTAATGAACAATGACTATTATTTATTTCAAGAACTTTTATTTACAGGATCTCAACATTTTTAATCTGTGTGACACAAATATGCACGATTTTTTTGGGCTCCCCCTATTTATCTCAAAGTCGGCCTTCAGGGTAGCTCCCTCCTATTTCGAACAGTGGTTATAGTCATTATAAAGTCTGTCTTTCTCACTTTTACACACTCATATTCGGATGTTGCATACATGTTCACGTAAATTCTTAGTTTGAAAAGGTATTACATTCAGTTAACTAAAAATATGGCCCTTAATGCTGTACAATGTCTTAATGTCTTAATTACAATATGTAAACAACTGTACTGTATGTCCCCATGATGTGATTAAAACAAGCACTTACAGACCTTGATACATTTTCCTTTGCACTGCTTTTTATTTCCACTAGATGTCAGCACTGACTTGGAGTTAAATGTAAACATTATCCCTCATGTGAAATCTCTCAAATTTCACTCTGCAGTCGTTCTCATTCCATCGCTATAGTAACTCTGCATTGAAACACTAATGTATAACTTCCTGATTGTTAGTGTACGGCCCGTCACACGGTCAGTAAACACTCAGGGTAAACAACCCAGAAAGTGGAGCGTTTCACACTGGGACTGTTTGAGTGTCACAGATGGTTTCCGCCCACTCTTCTTATGTTTCTGCTTCTCTCTCTTTCTCCTCCTCAGCTCCATAATAAATGTGCATCTAACGTGAAGCCGGAGTGTGATGGCGGCTCTCTGAGGGACCACACACTGCTGCCCTCCTACATCTGCCCTGTGGTGCTGGTGAGGGGCTTTCTCTCAGCTGTTAGCATACCAGACTGCACATATGTACATTACAGAGTGTCAGGGATGGCAAAAGTACACACATCCTTTCCTCAAGTAGAAGTACAGATACACGTGTTTAAAAATACTTTGGTAAAAGTAGAAGTACTGACTAAACTTCTTTACTCAAGTAAAAGTAAAGAAGTATGGGCTTTGAAATGTACTTCAGTAAAAAGTACCCATAACTAGCAGCTGTTTTAAAGAGTACCTGACCTCCCTTTATATTAATAGAACAATAATGTCATTGTTAGCTAATGAATGTTTCCATGCTGAACAACGGCAACATGACAACGTTTTCATTGGTCCCTCTTCTTTAGAGAAGACCAGGAAATGATGGATACACGGATCGTGTTCAAATCAATAGGCACGCAATGACTCTAAATAATAATGATCACGCCACCAAACACACATTCAAACTAAAGGAACCAGCCTGTTTGGGAAATGTAAGAAGTAGAAAGTACAGGTATTTGTGTTCAAAATGTAAGAAGTAGAAAGTACAGGTATTTGTGTTCAAAATGTAAGAAGTAGAAAGTACAGGTATTTGTGTTCAACATGTAAGAAGTAGAAAGTACAGGTATTTGTGTTCAAAATGTAAGAAGTAGAAAGTACAGGTATTTGTGTTCAACATGTAAGAAGTCAAAGTAAAAAGTCGTCAGAAAAATAAGTAGTGGAGTAAAATACTGATACCAGAAAAATGCAAACTTGTTATTGTTAGTGTGCTATAGAGCAGTGGTTCAGGCCTGTGTCGGCAGTGTAGATATTTGCGTTGATGAAATGTCTGCATTAGTGACACGCCGCCCTTCATCAGATTTCCTCCAATATCAGACCATCCTGTCCTCCAAACACCTGCCTCAATTTCACACTTCTATATTTGTGTTTGTGGACTGACTCATCAATTAGCCTCACGTATACATCATTGACAGGTGCATTTATATGCATATCATCCATATTATTCATAGTGGGCATTTCATACATTACGGCAAGGAACTATGCACCTGCAGAATATTTAAAGCTCATCCTGATTTATGACTTCAATGCTTGTTAAGGGGTATAAAAACCATTATATCTTTGAGTGCACAGTTTCCTTCTTCTGTGTTATGGAAGTCTTTTTTAAGTACTTCTGGCCCATGATTGCTCATCTGATCCAAAATGAGGACAGCACTCAACTTTTACTTTTTAATTTTGCAACATGGCCTTTTGGGCATTTCTTTTTTTGTTGGTCTTTATTAGGATTAGGATCTCCATTAGCGTTAGCTTCTTTCCGGGGTCCACGAGTCGAACACACATTTACACAGTGAACCTAGACACAACAAACATAGACATGTTGTGTAATTAACAATCAAGGATGGAAATGAAACAAGAAATTATCATCTTTTCAACCGTAATTGAGCCAAACACACATTTCTAATGAATTAATAACACACACATACAAATAAATAGTAATTCAAACTCTTTTTTTTCTGAGTCAGTGGGGGATTGAATACTCTACATTCAGCATTTCAACTAATAGTTGATTGTATAACAGTTGTCATCATCTAATATATCACCCCTATTTGTATTTATTAAATCAATATTTATTTTTCCTTTATTTAATCTGTTTATTTTGTATATATTTTTATTTATTTATTTATCTATCTATCCTACCATTTGTCAGCATGGCAGGATATACTTTGCAGAGGATGGAGAAATGTCACAATCAACTAAACCAGGTTGGGTTTATCGGGGTTTGACTAATATTCCCCTTTCTTCCACAGGACCGTCATTCTGTGGTGAAGCGTGGGGAGGGGGACTCGCCCCCCAGCACCAGCCCCGACGACATCAACCAGACGTTTAAATTCTCCCCCGGAGACGGACAGGCTCTGCAGGTACGAAGTCCGTCCTGCAGGTTTTTAAAGTGACGACATGAAGCTTGTTAGGAAAATATCACTCGTCACCGGCTTGAGCTTCAATCTCAGGATCCATGTATTTAATATCTTCTCCAGAATGTAAGTAGTCATCACATACAGAGCATCAACTAGTTCCTGAACAGTGTCCTTCACATGCTGATATACAAGAGAGGGAGTTACACAGTCACAAGATGGAGGAATAGAAAGCAGTATTCAATGTTTACTTCAGATTAGCTCCACGTCAGAAATGATCATGCTTGTCATATGTCTATCTCCATAGAGGCTGAATCATCATGTTAATCACATAGCTATCATATGCCTAAAACAGTCCTGATGCTCTTCCAGGTAATCATACATCCTGTCATGTACACAGCTACAGTTGGGATACCTTTGTTATCATGTGGACTCTGATATTGGGAGAGTACATTCAGTATTTTCCCAACAAAGCTGGTGACAGATTCTTGAGGATGTTTCTACTTCCTGTCTGCAGATCACTCCTCTCCCAGGGACTCACCCCCTCCTCGTCCTCGTCAACCCCAAGAGTGGAGGCAGGCAGGGCGAGCGGTAAGTAATTTTTTCAACATGGGGTAAGACATTTAATCTAATGTCTATGGGAGGAGATTTTACATATATTTTCTTAATCTACGATATCCACTGACTAATCTAAACTTAATAAAGTGCCGTGTGTACCTTGGTGTAGTGTAGATGTCGATCAACTTATTAATATAAATTAAAAAGTCTAATTTAATGTATGTATTTATTTGAACAAGGACCATGCACCCACATTAATCTCAGAGAACAGTAGAGATGATGTATGCCAGATTTGAGCTAATAGCCATCTGCAGTCTTTAGCTACATTACAATCAATACACACTAAAAAACATTGCATGATCTCTATCACACTTACAATTATAAAACAGTAAAGTACAGGTCTATAAAATAGTACATAGTACAGTTCAATGAAATAGACTTGCCTCCTGTTGTAAAGTAGAAATGAAATATCAGCCTTCACTGAAATAACTTTCCTGAGACGTGCTTCAGGGGATTGTGAAAGCTTCAATGGTTGTTTTATGTAACCGCCACAAGGTTACAGGAAACTGCTGCGTCAACGTGATGAGATGAAGAGCAAACCCTCCTCCTCTTCATCGCTCCTCTTCCTGATTATTTCAGTTCATTTCTGACAGAAAACTGCAGCAGAACAGATTTTTGAAGATGCACGAGGAGGTTGTAAAGACGTCACTTTAGGCGCCTTCAGTGAAGCTATTTGAGGCTTACACTGATGTTAATATTCAACCCACATGCGCCGTGATTTTTTGGCTGCATCATAACATACATTGTCATATTTAAGATGTATGAATCTTACATAGAAGTTTAAATACAAAGCCATTGAAGACAGTCAGTCATCAAGCTGTTCTGACAGAGTTTAAAGCATCCTAAACATCATGCAATTTTATGCAATCAGAGGCAAAAGTGATCGTTTTTTCGGGCATTTACGAACAAAAAGTTGCACCATGAGAGAAGCAAAGATGGATGATAAGATAATAACACGTCTTTTCTTGCCTTTTGTTTATTTAAACATCATAGAGCTACGATGTACCAGACATTTATTGCACCATCAAGAAAGGAATATTGTCTGATACAGATTGCATTCTTTTATTAGACCCTGTAAACCTGCAAGATTGCTGTTATTTCACAGTATGCAGGGCCTTGAGAGGCTGAGCTACTTACTTTATTGATTCTTCTGAAGATGAATATGCTTTCATAACCTGGAACATTCAACTTGTAAAACTCTGATGGAATAAGGGCGATATTTGAATGCTGGTAAAGAGGTGCTTACTCTATTTCTATCTATTTGACTTGTTCTGTGTTCCTCTCTCTTCTTCTTCCAGAGTACTGAGGAAGTTCAGGTACCTTCTAAACCCCCGGCAGGTGTACAGTTTGGAGCAAGGGGGACCAATGGTAGGGTAAGTCTGCTGCATTCATCTCTTTGTTGCTATGTTGGTGAATTGAAAGGACAACCACTTTAATAACAAGGACATGTGGGGTTCGAACCCCTTGGCGCTCTGATTGTTAGATGCCATTTTATCCGCGCAACATCCACCCTCGGATACAGTTCATTTTTTCGTACAACCCTTAGCGATGAGATTACTTCTCGAGAGGGAGAGCAGCTGCAGGAACTCAATCATTGTTGTGGTTGTGTCCTTGTAGCTGAACTGAACTGGAAGTACATTTTTATAATGTTCATGAACCTCTGAACAACAGGACATTTTTTCCAACCATGCCTTGTAGTTCACCCTGCATGTAGCCTTGTATTTTACCCTACATGTAGCCTTGTATTTCACCCTACATGTAGCCTTGTATTTTACCCTACATGTAGCCTTGTATTTTACCCTACATGTAGCCTTGTATTTCACCCTACATGTAGCCTTGTATTTTACCCTACATGTAGCCTTGTAGTTCACCCTACATGTAGCCTTGTATTTCACCCTACATGTAGCCTTGTAGTTCACCCTACATGTAGCCTTGTATTTCACCCTACATGTAGCCTTGTATTTTACCCTACATGTAGCCTTGTATTTTACCCTACATGTAGCCTTGTATTTTACCCTACATGTAGCCTTGTATTTCACCCTACATGTAGCCTTGTAGTTCACCCTACATGTAGCCTTGTATTTCACCCTACATGTAGCCTTGTAGTTCACCCTACATGTAGCCTTGTAGTTCACCCTACATGTAGCCTTGTAGTTCACCCTACATGTAGCCTTGTATTTCACCCTACATGCCTTTCCTATAAATGCAACAGCCCGGTAAACCATATTACAATTTCAACTTAAAGAGGACATATAGTGAAATATTCATATGTAGTGTCTCTACTGGGACATGTCTCCATGCTTTAATGTTCAAAAAGCTCTTTATTTTTCTCGTACTGCCTGTGCTGCAGCACCTCTTTTCACCCTCTGTCTGAAACCAGAGCTCAGTCTGCTCTGATTGGTTAGCTGGCCGGCTCTGTTGTGATTGGTTAACCTCTTAGAGATGTCCCGCCCCTTAGCCTATCACGTACAATGTGTTGGAGTGCTAGCCAATAGGAGCGCGAGTGTTACATGATGTCACTTTGTTACAGAAGTCAACAAAGGAGTCCAATGGGGGAAACTCCCTCTGGAGGAACTTTTCTTTGCAGAGCATTTAAATGCACAAAAACCTAAATAACCCACTACAGGAGAGAAGAAAAACAACCCACACAGCATAATGGGACCCCAAAGGACTATTTTGCAGTGGACAAATAATTGATAAAGACACAGACACACACATTAATACGAAATGTAGGTGTGCTCTTGATTTTCTTTTGGGGGGGAGTTTGTGTTTTTGAATAAAAAATAACATATATGTGACCCGCTCTATCGAAATCAGTCGGAAGTCGCAATGGCTCATTTCAAAATAAACGTGGATTTGCGTAAAAAATAGTTTTTCGGGGTTCAGGTTTTTTGTTTGATTTTAAATAAACAAAGTCTTGGCTTTCAGAATATGAAACTTTTATTTCCAAAATCACACGATAAATACATTTTTGAAGCTTGTAAAGGGAAGATGACAGCTCTCACTCGCCACTCTGCTGTTCCGCAGCGCCGCCCCCCCCTCCCTCCGGCTGAAATTATGAATGTAAGGCGTATAGTAATCATAGATAACACGGCAGGGTCCGTTACAGTTTGTTTTCATCTGACTTCAAATAAACAAAGTCTTGGCTTTCAGAATATTAAACTTGTTTCGGCAAATTCAGATGATAAATACAACGTTGAAGCTTGTAACGGCATAATTACAAGCGGAGAACGGAGTAACTTAACGTCACAGCAGGCATAACAACAGCCAGTGTTTCTCGTGAGTGTTTTCCCCGGGAAACAAACACAATACACACAAACGCAAAAATACACACACACACACACACACACACACACACACACTCGCGAGCTTCCCCCAGACCAGTAATCCAAACGAAAATATCTTCCCTCCGTACTACTTTGATCATTTGCTAATAATCAATCAGATATTTTTCTCAAAATGATGACTCGGTGACAGTCATTATATAATGTGACATATTTTGCTTAATATTTGGAGTACAAAAACAATCCTGATACCATTAGAAAGTTAGGAATCTCTTCTTTCCAACAGTGTATACAACTCAAAATGTGTCTAAGGGTCAATGCGACTGATTTCGATGGAGCAGGTCACAAATATAAAGTACAGTGTGTTTATTATTATCAGTCACAGACTGACCTCTCTGCCTCGGGTCAAACTAACCAGGAGGACAGTGAAGGGGACACTGCAGTACTGCCGTGCTGTGCATTTGACCTCACACACACACACACACACACACACACACACACACACACACACACACACACACACACACACACACACACACACACACACACACACACACACAGGGTTGCACATACGTCAGAGCTGAGCACAGCTTGTACTTTTAAAAGGAACACTGTTGCACCTTTTGTCCATTCATAGAAATGTTTCCTACATAGCTCGGGAACTATAGACGCTCTACCTTGAAAGTGAAGCAAACACCACTGTGTGTGTTTGTGTCTCTCTCTCTCTCCCCCCCTCTCTCTTTCTTCCCTCAAGAGTGTGTTATATGTCAAGCGACCCAATGACGCACTCAGGTGCTAGGGGAGAATGATGTCCATCATACACACGATGTCAAACACACACACTGTTTACTCTCATGTGATATGGGACTCTGGAAAAAGATCACAGATCCAACTTCCTGAACTAAACAGTTTAAATAATAGAAAATACATGTTTTTATGTTTGTTCAATAGGCATTCAATGAGACTCCCCTTAATGTCATTAATATTAACCACTAGGATTACATAAGACACATATATAGTGTCATTTTTGTTGCTTTTGTTCATCCTCGGTACATTTTTTTTATTTCCATTCATATTTAAACAATATTTCATCCTAATGTTTCTTTGATCATTTCACGAGGAAATTGTTTACTCCAGAGTTTATGGCATTTATTTGAATGAATAAATATCATAACATCTCTCTCACACTCCCCCCCCCCCCCCCCCCCCCCTCTGGGCTCTGGTTTCAGACAGAGGGTGAAAAGAGGTGCTGCAGTACAGGCAGTATGAGAAAAATAAAGAGCTTTTTGAACATTAAAGCATGGAGACAAGTCACAGTGCTTGTTTCTTGTATTCCCATCACACACATCTGAGAGCAGAGGTGATGTAATAATCTTCCGTTATTGCTGCTCAGAGGGTTAGAGAGCCTCACAAGTGAATATTAACACATGCATACAAAACAAACAGAGCCGAAAGAAGGTCTGGGTTAACCTGAACTCAACACAACTGTTACCATGCGCTCCCTAGCAACAGGCTCAGCTGGCTTTAAAGTGAGAGGCAGCTATCTCCGAGGAAAAGCACTTCCTCGCCGTATTTTAGGTCATTACAAACATTGTTCCGCCTCCTTCCATTAACCTCCATCTGTCCATGCACATGTTTCTGTCATGCATAAAGCATAGCGACAAACCGGAGGAGTAGGTGGGTTAATTAATATTGTATGTTGACACGGAAGTGTTTTGGTTATACGTGAAACAAAGCGCGGTGTGTTACTGTTTTGGCAGGAGGCATGTTTGTAGTTTCTCTGCATGTCAGTTAGAGAGGGCTGTTTGCCTCATGGCCACCGCCTCATCTGACCCCATCCAGAAATAATCCTACTTTGATTTAAGTGGCAAGACATCAGGGCAAAACAGGAGGATATTAAGGATTACATGTTTAAACCGTTTAGTCATAAGGCAATAACATGTTTTTAGGTAATGGTAAGACTAGAAGTCAGTTTCTTGGAAGTCCGTTTGGATATCAGATCCATCAATATGAAGCACATCAGTTAATAAAACTCTTACAGATTTTAGAAAGATGAGGTAACAAATATTTCCTCACTAATATTGCAAGGTAAAAAAACGTCTTGGCAATTTCCCGAAAAACTGCTTGAGGGTCTTTGGCCTGTTGCCAGTGGAGGATTCAGTATTCAGATGCTTTAGTAAAAGTGCCAATACATTATTGTCAAAATACTTCATTACAAGTAAAAGTCCTGCATTCAAAATAATAATAATAATAATAATAATGGGTTCCATTTATAAAGCACTTCATATTCGAATTCAAATCCCGAAGTGCTACAGGCAGTGAGCAGAAACAGTATAAATCTTACTTAAGTACAAAAGTACTCAGCAAAATGTACTGTAGAATAAAAAGTAAGAGTAATCATTGTGCAGAAAAATGGCCTATTAATATATATGTGACATTTCTAGATAATATTGTTCCATAACGTAGCATTTTACTGTTTACAGACAAACTCAGTTGTGATTGACTTTTTGCTAAATATTGAAATAATTTGACTCTTTTGTGACTTAAAGAGTTGGTCCACTCGTTTAATTTTGGGGTTGCATTTTGTTCAAAGTAGCTAAAGCTCTTAACTAAATATAGTGGAGTAAAATGACGTGATTTCCCTTTTTAAATGTAGTGGAGTAGAAGTATAAAGTAGCGTAAAATGGAAATACTCAAGTATAGTACCTCCAAATTGTACTTAAAGGTAGGGAAGGTAAGAATGGAGAAACCAGCTCGAGTGTGCTAGAATTTGAAAGTACGCAGCTGAAAAAAATCTGCCCCTTCCTTCAGACTTCCTTACAGAGCCCCTCCTCCAACACACACGGACGCGCACATGACCAATACGTTTGTGCACAGATGGAAGGCTGACAGGCAGGTAGGCCATCCAGTTATTTTAGCCGGGCGGGCTAAAATGATTGGTTGTGCTTTTTACAGCGCCACGGCTTCCACAGATGACATTTTTTTAATGTATTTATTGTCAAAGCATTTAAGATATTCATTGCTATCGGGATGTTAAGAGCATTCCATGGAATATAACACAAAGTGTTTCTGAAGTGAATTACCTACCCCACCTTTAAGTGCAGTACTTGAGTAAAGGTACTTAGTGCTAAATATTGAAATAATTTGACTCTTTTGTGACTTAAAGAGTTAGTCCACTAGCTACATTTTAAGAGATGCATTTTGTTAAAAGTAGCTAAAGAAATTCCCCTCAGATTATTTGTTAAGAAGTTTACAGACCTGTGCATGCAGCAAAATATAACATTTGATCAGGTTAATAGACACAAGGAGGTCAAATGTATGATAATACAAATAAATAATGTTTTCTCTCTGACAGATAAGACACAAGACAACTGAATCGGTGCAACAATATCAAATATAAAACGAAGTAGAAGTATAAAGTTGCATAAAATGGAAATACTCAAGTAAAGTACCTCCAAATTGTACTTAAGTGCAGAACTTGAGTAAATATACTTCCTTACGTCCCACCTCAGCCTGTTATAGTTCAGTCCAGGTGGGAATGATGCAGCTGTCTCATGATGCAGAGAGATGAAAGCTGCTGTCGACACCTTTGTCCGACGCACATTAAAGGTCCCTTTGAAGGGCGCGCTCTGTGTTGTTTCTGGGGAAGGGAGAGGAGTGAGCACAGCTGGAGAGGGCACACATTGGGGGTGTTTCTCAATGTCGAGTAAAGCTGCTCCAGAGCCACTATTTCAAGCATACTACGTCATCGAGTACTGTTCCAATGTCCAGCATACTTGGAATTCTACCGAGCCCGGCGTACTTCGTTTGGAGACATTTCGAGGCTGCACATGAGTAGACTCCGCGGTCTTAAAATCCCCACAATGCTTTGCGCACGGACCAATTTCCCCAAATCTGTGGTGGAAAATGTAAGGCGGGGCCTCTCATATGACGCACACCTGCACACTTGCTAGCCTGTTCCACTCTTTGTTTTCCGAATGCCAGGAAGGATTCTTGCCTCGCTTCTGAAGCAAGACGCTCGGAAGACATGTGCTACCAAGCAAGCGTACTCGAGATTGAAAAACACCCTCTGTGTTTCTCAATGTCGAGGAAGGCTGCTCCAGAACCACTATTTCAAGCATAATACGTCATCGAGTGCCGCCGAAGGACTGTTCCAATGTCCAGCATACTTGGAATTCTACCGAGGCCGGCGTACTTCGTAGCGAGAAATTTCGAGGCTGCACATGTGTACACTCCGCGGTCTTAAAATCCCCACAATGCTTTGCGCACGGACCAATTTCAAAATCTTTGGCGGAAATCGCGTTCCATTTAAGGCGGGGCCTCGCATATGACGCACACCTGTTAGCCTGTTCCACAATTCTTCATTTTCCGAGGCTAGGAAGGATTCTTGCCTCGCTTGTGAAGCAAGTGACTCGGAAGACATGTGCTACCAAGCAAGCATCCTCGACATTGAGAAACACCCAGTGATTAAACTCTGTCCCTCTGCCATCAGCCTTTTAGCTCATGCCATTAAATCACTCAGAGCTTAGAAAATCCCCGTCTCAACTGCTCCGAAATCCAATCAACAGATGTATCGCCTGTAATACACTTTGACATTGAGATTAAGAACAAAAACAAACAATGTTTTGTTTCTGCATGTGTTGCTTTATTCTACCTGATCTTCTGTTTTAGGCTCAACTTCTTCCACGATGTCCCTGATTTCCGGGTGCTTGCTTGTGGAGGAGACGGCACTGTGGGCTGGATCCTGGACTGTATAGGTACACAGATTTTAAAAACAAAATGACTTATAGTTACAGCCTTATTATTTATTTGGGCAATGATTTCTCTTTATTATACAAGTTATTATAACATGGCACTCTAATTAACTAATGACTGGCATATGGTTAACAAACAGTCCAATTCGAAAAAACGTAAAGTCAACCGTAACATTTTCCTAAACTGTGCATTATAGACATCCATTAATGACAGACTACTGTATATCTAAACTTGTTGGTGCTGTAGTCTTGAACAAATATGTGCAAATACGTATATTTATTGATATTACAAATGAAATTGTCAAAAGAAAACCAAAAGGAGTAAATAGACCAAATATTCTGAGTAAGTTGCAATTCTTGTCAAATCTAGATGTTCTGTGATTACACTTGATAATGTCATTAAAAAACTATTCGCAGAATTGGACTGTTTGGTCCCTGAAACAGTTCTTTAAGAATAGTTTGACCAACAGAATATAATATATAGGTTTGTCTTTGTCCTTGCAGATAAGGCCAACTTAACACGGCCCCCTTCAGTGGCCATCCTCCCTCTGGGCACCGGGAACGACCTCGCTCGCTGCCTACGCTGGGGAGGAGGTGAGGGACTCTGTTGTGTGTGTGTGTGTGTGTGTGTGTGTGTGTGTGTGTGTGTGTGTGTGTGTGTGTGTGTGTGTGTGTGTGTGTGTGTGTGTGTGTGTGTGTGTGTGTGTGTGTGTGTGTGTGTGTGTGTGTGTGTGTGTGTGTGTTGTGTGTGTGTGTGTGTGTGTGTGTGTGTGTGTGTGTGTGTGTGTGTGTGTGTGTGTGTGTGTGTGTGTGTGTGTGTGTGTGTGTGTGTGTGTGTGTGTGTGTGTGTGTGTGTGTGTGTGTGTGTGTGTGTGTGTGTGTGTGTGTGTGTGTGTGTGTGTGTGTGTGTGTTCTTCCAAAGCAAGGCCATCCTAGACGTTCATGAAACATAAAAAGTAGAACAAGAACTGCACAAGGAATTCACATTCTGAACATGTTTCCAGAGACGTTAATTACAATTCAGAGAATCAAATACTTTTCTGTCTTGTGCGGAATAGATTATAGAGTATGGTTTTGACAATATATAAATATGTGGAGTTAGCAGATGTGTGTATGATATGGTGTGGAACCACACTGTAAAAATACTCTGTTACAAGTAAAATGTCTGCATTAAACATTTTCAAGTTAGTAATTATAGCTAGTATATGTAAACATGTAAGTGGTACCACTTCACAGAGGTCAGTGCATAGAATTCTGAAATGAAATACAGTTCAAGACATATTTTACTACAAAAGAAGAAGAAGGGCAGAAAACGACTTTGTAGATGGAGGATGAGTTCAGGAATCTCCCAGCCTGAGGGGAAGAAGCTGCTCTGTAATGTAGTCTGGACGTACGACAACGGATTGTTCTGGATCTGTTTCCAGATGTCTACAGGGTGACTTTGGTTAGGGTTAATGTTGTCCTTAAAGGTCACCTATTATGCAAAATCCACTTTGTCATGTCTCTTCTACATCAACATGTGTCCCCTCTTTTTCATGTCTCTTCTACATCAACATGTGTCCCCTCTTTTTCATGTCTCTTCTACATCAACATGTGTCCCCTCTTTTTCATGTCTCTTCTACATCAACATGTGTCCCCTCTTCTTCATGTCTCTTCTACATCAACATGTGTCCCCTCTTTGTCATGTCTCTTCTACATCAACATGTGTCCCCTCTTTGTCATGTCTCTTCTACATCAACATGTGTCCCCTCTTTGTCATGTCTGTTCTACATCAACATGTGTCCCCTCTTTTTCATGTCTGTTCTACATCAACATGTGTCCCCTCTTTTTCATGTCTCTTCTACATCAACATGTGTCCCCTCTTTTTCATGTCTCTTCTACATCAACATGTGTCCCCTCTTTGTCATGTCTCTTCTACATCAACATGTGTCCCCTCTTTTTCATGTCTCTTCTACATCAACATGTGTCCCCTCTTTGTCATGTCTGTTCTACATCAACATGTGTCCCCTCTTTTTCATGTCTGTTCTACATCAACATGTGTCCCCTCTTCTTCATGTCTCTTCTACATCAACATGTGTCCCCTCTTTTTCATGTCTCTTCTACATCAACATGTGTCCCCTCTTTTTCATGTCTCTTCTACATCAACATGTGTCCCCTCTTTTTCATGTCTCTTCTACATCAACATGTGTCCCCTCTTCTTCATGTCTCTTCTACATCAACATGTGTCCCCTCTATTTCATGTCTCTTCTACATCAACATGTGTCCCCTCTTCCTCATGTCTCTTCTTCATCAACATGTGTCCCCTCTGTGTAAAGAGACTCTGAAAGTTTCAGGAACAAAGATTCTCTCTCTTTTTGTCCTGATCCATTTATAAAAAAACCTGTCTGAAAATGAGCTGATCAGATTTTGGCCACTTTATGATGTCATAACGATTGTTTGGCTTGTGTAACCATTAGCCAATCAGCAACCAAGGTAACCCCCCCCCCCACCCCCACCTTATGACCTGAATCTCCTCCTAGAGCACCATTGTGTTCTTTTTAACCAAATATCTCTCAGAGGGGCGTGGGGAGGGGCTCCTTATTTTCATCTAAAGTAACAGACAGAGAATCAGCACTTTTGAAACAGGGCTGAAACAGAGGGGATTATGGGATGCTGCAATGATCTGTTTGGTGTTTGGAGCCAAACACTTCAGAGACATGTTTGTATATATCTGAGACCTATAATATATTGATGAAAAACAGTATAATAGGTGACCTTTGAATATCCTTTTGATGTCCCCTTTTCTGCCAAATATCACAGACGGGCAATATATCGGCCCCCGTGATGATCTAGGCTCTTTCACCCTAGTTCAAAATGTTCCCAGTCAGGATACTTTTGCCAGACAATTCCTTGTTCACAATTATTAAATAAATGGATTCATAAAGAGATATATGTCATACTTATGATGCAAATAAACTAACAAAGTAAATCCTAACCCTAACCAAATCAAGTTATTTATTACAAAAATGTACATCTGTTGGACATTGACGGATAAAGTATTCTTTATAGGGGTCCTCTACTTAAAATTTCACATAGATTCAACCAAGATCCCTGGAAAAACTGATCCAAAATGCTGACTGTCTGACAGAGAAGAATGAGATTACATTCTTCTGCCTTAAAGCTACTAAAGGGGTTAAAATAGTGATTTATAGATTTGAGCTGTACTCCAAATAGTACAGGGCAAGTTACATTTATATCTAATTATCTCTGAAGTCTTTTCTTGGTTTAATAAAGGTTGAACAGGCTCACAATGTGTAGGTTACTGGCTCAACAGGAGTTTAAACTGACCTCTGTTAGGGTTCATTTCACGGCTAAGATAGTAGCTGTTGTACTCGTCACTAGAATAAAAAGGCAGGCATGTGTGTGCATGTTTACTGGAAATGAAACACCGGGAGAGGAAATGGGGAGCTCTTACGTATCAGATTAAAAAACAGTAATGTGCAAAGCACCATTAATTTGTCGCAGTATTTCGGGTCTGTAATTAGAATGGCTGGTTATTACTGTGTGATTGTTGATGCTTGGAGGACCAGCGGGGAAATTAGCCAGGCTTATGAATGACTTTTTGAGAAGAAGCTTCCTGGTCTGGGGGGCGCCGTTGGGACTTGTTGAATAGATCATGTTTTCCAGAAATAAACATTGAATAAAGTTGAAATCTCTGCGGCCATTGCTGTTGCCAATTGAATACATATTGGATGGATCGGAAATCATTTTGTACATTCATGTTCCCCAATGGATGAATCCAATTGAAAATAATCTCCTAATTTATATTGAAAACTATCAGCTAGTGGATTGCCAGTGGATTGATTCGTTGGATTACAGACGGGTAGTGAAGAAGAAAGTGAGGGAAGGGGGTAGGTAGGTAGATCGCAAGGTAGGTCGCAAGGTATGTAGGTAGGTCGGTAGGTAGGTAGGTAGGTAGGTAGGGAGGTAGGGAGTTAAGTAGATAGGGAGGGAGGTAAATAGGTAGCGTATTAAGTAGCTTTGTAGGAGGGTAAGTAATAGACATACAGTAGATAGATAGGGATGGACAAAGGGAGGTAACAAGGTAACTAGGAAGGAAGGGAGGTAGGTAGATTGAGAGGGATAGATGAAGGGAGGCAAGTAGGCAGGTAGGGAGGAAGGTTGGTATTGAGGATGTGTTAGTAGGTAAGGCGATAAAATGGCAGGGAGGAAAGGAAGGGGCAGGTAGGTAGGGAGGGAAGGAGGTATGTAGGTAGGAAGTAAGGTTAGTAGGTAGGGAGGGAAGGAAGGAGGTAAGGAGTTAAGAAAGAAGGAAGGTAAGTAGGAAGGAAGTTAGGTAGGTAGGGCGGTAAGTATATAGGAATACTATAGGAAAGTATGTAGGGTGGTTAGGAGGTAGGGGGTAAGTTTGTAGAGAGGAAAGTAGTTATTGATGTAGGTAGGGAGGGAAGGAGATAAGATGGTAGGAATGTAAGTAGGTAGGGAGCAGCAGGTCAAACTTTTTAATTGTCCAGTTCTTTGTTTTATGTCAAATACTTAAAGAACGAGTAAATCTTTTGACGTCTGTTACAAAAGCTTCTCCGGATGTCTTCTTGTTGTCATCTTTAGATTTGAGACTGTCGGAAACAATTCAAGATCTCCTCAGTGTGTGATGATGTGTGTGTGAGTGTGTGAACACATCCAGCGGGAAAGACAATTGTTTTTATACGAAACGGAAATTGTTCCTTCTGAAATTAAGGGCACCAGTTTCTTTTGAGAATATGTAAACCCGTTCATATTTCACACACGATGCTCCCTGTGTGATAATTAATGCGTCACGCCCTTAAGAACATTTTAAAACATACTTCCGCCTCTTTGCTGATAAGATGCCTGGATGCTGAATAGGCTGTCAGCTGTGGAGCAAAACCTGAGGGCTCCCAGGGGCCCTGTTCTCTGAGCTGGTGAGGGGAGAGATGGCAGCATAATCAGTGCCATTGTGTGTCATGTTTCAACCAATATACAACACCAATCCAGTTAGATGTGAGCTTTTAACCGAGATGGCAAAAGTACACACATCCTTTACTCAAGTAGAAGTACAGATACTCGTGTTTAAAAATACTTTGGTAAAAGTAGAAGTACTGACTAAACTTCTTTACTCAAGTAAAAGTAAAGAAGTATGGGCTTTGAAATGTACTCAAGTAAAAAGTACCCATAACTAGCAGCTGTTTTAAAGAGTACCTGACCTCCCTTTATATTAATAGAACAATAATGTCATTGTTAGCTAATGAATGTTTCCATGCTGAACAACGGCAACATGACAACGTTTTCATTGGTCCCTCTTCTTTAGAGAAGACCAGGAAATGATGGATACACGGATCGTGTTCAAATCAATAGGCACGCAATGACTCTAAATAATAATGATCACGCCACCAAACACACATTCAAACTAAAGGAACCAGCCTGTTTGGAAAATGTAAGAAGTAGAAAGTACAGGTATTTGTGTTCAACATGTAAGAAGTAGAAAGTACAGGTATTTGGGTTCAACATGTAAGAAGTAGAAAGTACAGGGATTTGTGTTAAACATGTAAGAAGTAAAAAGTTAGAAAAACAAGTAGTGGAGTAAAGTACTGATACCAGAAACATTTACAGGTGGGGTATGTAATTTATTTCAGAAACACTTTTTGTTATATTCCATGGAATGCTCTTAACATCCCGATAGCAATGAATATATTAAATGCTTTGACAATAAATACATTAATTATCATCTGTGGAAGCCGTGGCTCTGTAAAAAGCACGACCAATCATCTGAGCCGGCCCGGCTAAAATAACTGGATGGCCTACCTGCCTGTCAGCCTTCCATCTGTGCACAAACTTATCTCGTGCCCTCATTGGTCATGTGCGCGTTCGTGTGTGTTGGAGGAGGGGCTCTGTAAGGAAGTCTGAAGGAAGGGGCAGATTTTTTCCGGTTGTTTATTTTCAAATTCTAGCGCACTCGAGCTGGTTTCTCCAAAATTACATACCTTACCTTTAAGTACAGTAACAAAGTATTTGTACTCCACTACTTCCCACCTCTGGCTTTTAAACATAAACTAAGCCAAAGAAAATCTAGGAAAGGTAGACAGGAACTTCAATGAACTAAGGGTTGATCAATTTGTTTCCTTCTTTAATCTATTCTACCTCCACATTTGTGAGATTGTATGTCCTTAAATGACTATTTAGTAAAAGAGCCTAATTGATTTCTGTCTGTGGACATGCCTTGTTTTCAAAGATTACACCCGTATGTAATTGGTAAATGTATCTAATGCCGCAATCTGCTGCTAAAAGAGCCTCCTCTCTTCTCTGAAGGATTTCTAGATTATTTAGAAACCTGGCTCTGGGGATTTATTCTCATTCAGCTACAAAAGCATTAGTGAGGTCGTATTCAGGCAATATATCCTGGCCTCAGGCAATGTTAATCCCAAAGGTGTTGGATGGGGTCAAGACGCACTGTAAATACGTAGTAGACGTAGCCCTGGGGTTTGTGGATGTGGATTATTTTATTGAGATTTTACCTGTTGCTCTGTATTTGGATCCACAAGTTACCATATTTGAACGATTGCAGCTGGAAAGGAGTGAGATCTGGGGCTTCGTAAACTAGGTGTATCCGTAATTCAAGCTAACTGTAGCTAATTTTGGCTTGGGAAAATCTGCATGAATCCAAATGTACTTACAGGAAAGACAATGCTAAGGTAACATATTTGTATCAAAAGGTAACCACAACCCATAGCACATCCTTTATGAAGCAAGTCAGATATTACATTTGTCAGGAAATTGATTACTGACCTAAAAAAGTGAGAAGTCGAGTCATTTTCTCATAGACCAATCCGATTTTTTGGCTTGTGTAACCATTAGCCAATCACCAACTAAGGTAACCCCCCCCCCACCTTATCACCTGAATCTCTTCCTAGAGCACCATTGTGTTCTTTTTAACCAAATATCTCTCAGAGGGGCGTGGGGAGGGGCTCCTTATTTTCATCTAAAGTAACAGACAGAGAATCAACACTTTTGAAACAGGGCTGAAACAGAGGGGATTATGGGATGCTGCAAAGTTCCATTTGGTATTTGGAGCCAAACACTTCAGAGACATGTTTTGTTTATATCTGAGACCTATAATATATTGATGAAAAACAGTATAATAGGGGACCTTTAAGATTTTGCTGAAACAAAACATAACATTTCTTTAAGTACACAGCAATGGACCTGTGCTATTTACCATTATTATGCATCCACTCTGTTCTTTTGTCTGTGCTTCATCTTGTGTTCTCACTCATCGTTCCTTCCCCTCTTGTTGTTGTCTGCAGGTTACGAGGGCGGCAGCCTTCTGAAGTTCCTCCGGGACATCGAGCATAGCGCGGAGGTGGTGCTCGACCGCTGGAACATCGACATCGTCCCCGATGACAAGGAGGAAAAAGGAGACCCCGTTCCCTACAGCATCGTCAACAACTACTTCTCTATTGGAGTGGTAAGCAAACTGAGCATTTAATGTTAAGTCTGACTGATTCTATTTCCTGGTGTGGCTCGAACATGGTGGGTACTGTTGGGAAGTTGGGTTTTAAAAGGGAAACATATGGTCTTCGGTTTGAGTTAATTTACTAGATACTGTATGATTCTTAAAAAACCTGAAACTATACAAGGCAAACACAAGAATGGTATATAGGGAGGCAAGTAGGTAGATATAAGGAGAAACTATTGAGTACTATTGGATCGATTTCAACAGCATTTGGTACAGATCTCCATGTTTCCCATTGGATTAATTCTTATTGCTTTGGTGATGCCCTGACTTCTCCTCCAGTGTCACCAGCAGGTCAAACATTCAATTTGTCCTGTGAATTATCTCATCGTAAAGTTCAGCAGACATTCATGGTTTCCCACAGGATGATACCGGTTTTGCTGATCCTTTAGTATTCGCCAGAACCTTGACATTTTTTATCTTTTTTATCTTTTGTCATATATCTTTGTATTCACGTTAATGTCCCCCATGATCTAGTTACTAAATATACTTCTTGAAGAACCTGAAACTATATTAGGCATACACAACGATGGTCATTTCCAACCTCAACCTACATTCATTTTGATTTTGAATACAACAGGTATTGGTTGAAAATGTTTGCTTCATGAGCTTCTAAAATATGTCCTTTTAGTGCTTAATTACAATTAACAATCCCTTTACCTCTGACTCTAACATCTATTTGATTAGATGCCGACACATTTCAAGCATGAATGTCTTTGTGTCATGGTCATTTCCATACGTACCTGTAATAGGAAACAGAGTTCAGATTCAGAGGATCATTAAAGGGAAAACATGTCTGATTATCCTTATACACAAATAAGGAAAATTACGTTAGGAAATGATCTAAATAAATGACCCAATGTAAATTGGAAGCAGGGATCAGTATAAACATAAAATTGTAACTAATTAAACGCTAAAACACACTTGATAAAATCTACTAAATAACTAAATCTTCCCAAAATCCCGCCCTGAGACAGGTGGCAACAATAACAACACGGTAGAAGATTACCTGGTCTGTGTGGACTCGAGCAATTAGCAGATTCATCAGTGACTTTCTGCTCTCTCCTGGGCAGGGTCCCTCTTTTAATTGGAGGAAAGAAACATGCTGCCAGGTCCCAGTTGCTTAGCAACCTTTTTACCTTGTCCTGATGGAGATACTGGTATAAAGGCTCAGGGACATTTATAGAGAGGTGACAGAAAAAAAGCCTTTTGAGAAGTTATCGCTGTGCTGCTCGGCTCGTTTGGCTTCAAAGAGAGGATTTGTCTGCACTTTGCACTGCAGCAATGTGTGGCTTCTGTATTTATTCAGGACAAAAAGGCAGCCGCATATGTTTAATTATTTAAATTAACTCCACTTTCATCAACATACAGACTTTGCCTGCATCCAATAAATAATAGGCACTTTATTTTTTCCGTGAAACTAGACATTGTGAGCAACTTAATTCATATACCAGCACTTTGAATGCAAATCAAGCAGCATTAAGCTAATGAATACATAAAGTGGCCAAACTCATGATGTATACAGTACAGCACATACGCATGAATATAAAATGACATAAACAGTGATGACATATGTGTGGAGAGGACATATGTGCGCAGGTAGAAGTAAAAAGGGTTTTGGCAAGAAGAGGATGAAGCACTGATGCTATAGAACTGCACCCCCACTGATATTTGCATACGCGTCAGCAGAGCGTCTCACAGAAATGCAATGACATACTGTTCTTAAAGTCACTGCCATATGGGCTTCATATGCATATTCTTATGTGTACCTTGTCCTGGTTAAACACATGTTGATCCAAGATGCAGCACTAAAGGTAGAAGATTATATTAATGGGCTGTTTTGGTTTCGAGGTGATGGTGCTTGTAGAAAATAGTTTTAATGTCTGCAACTCGACTTCAAACTCCTTTTTTAATGATGGTTGTAGTTACTTCCAAATGTTAAATATATACATTATAAGATCATATGGTATGATGCAATTGCATTTGTTTATATTCTCGCCTTGTGGAAATGATGTAGGTTAATCCTGGAAACACTGAGAGTTGGATACAGGTGCAACATGATGTAATATTTGCATCCAGTGTTTCTCACTATAATTCATTATGTGAATCGATCTAACAGACGTACATATTCTCACTTCTATCTCGTCAAATACAGCAGATGGTCTGTCGCTGACGTTAACACAGTCTTTTAGCATCTTCTCTTTAATGTAGCATTACATTGCATGACGTGAGTTGATTATGTTTGGTTAACACTTGGTAAGGTTTAGTGTTAGATCATGATTTGGGTTCAAATAAGTAGGTTTCTTATGTGACTTTAGTTATGCATGTGACACATTTAAGTACGTTTCATAAGTTGATTTGGTTTCACATGAATAGTGGTTTCCTGGATAAAAAGTCCCGTGTTGGTTTGAACCATCCATTTACCCCAATGACGTTGTTGCTATTTTACTCTGCTATTATAACTACGGACAGTTGCAACCTTACATCTTATTGGTCACACACGTACAAAGCATCACATACACAGTTACATTGTGTCTCTGCATTTAGTGTGTGCATCACAGTATCAGTGGACAGCTATACAGCTATATGTATACATAACAAAATATTGGAGCGACACAGTTGGACACTTGACTGACCAAGCTGCTTTATTTTTTATTTAAAATGTTGATGACTTTGAGAACGCACTAAAAAAATGTGTTTATTCCATTTCCTTCATAAAGCATTTGCATAGTCTTCTGTAACATAATGACATCACTATGTAACACTTGCGATCTATTGGCTAGCGCTCCAACACATTGTACGTGATAGGCTTGGGGGCGGGACATCTCTTAGTGCTTGACCAATCACAACAGAGCCGGCCAGCTAACCAATCAGAGCAGACTGGGCTCTGGTTTCAGACAGAGGGTGAAAAGAGGTGCTGCAGCACAGGCAGTACGAGAAAAATAAAGAGCTTTTTGAACATTAAAGCATGGAGACATGTCACAGGAGAGACACTACATACTGATATACACCTGAACATCAGCAGGAGAGAACTCTTTAAAGTAGAGACACTACATACTGATATGAACCTGAACATCAGCAGGAGAGGACTCTTTAAAGTAGAGACACTACATACTGATATGAACCTGAACATCAGCAGGAGAGGACTCTTTAAAGTAGAGACACTACATACTGATATGAACCTGAACATCAGCAGGAGAGGACTCTTTAAAGTAGAGACACTACATACTGATATGAACCTGAACATCAGCAGGAGAGGACTCTTTAAAGTAGAGACACTACATACTGATATGAACCTGAACATGAGCAGGAGAGGACTCTTTAAAGTAGAGACACTACATACTGATATGAACCTGAACATCAGCAGGAGAGGACTCTTTAAAGTAGAGACACTACATACTGATATGAACCTGAACATCAGCAGGAGAGGACTCTTTAAAGTAGAGACACTACATACTGATATGAACCTGAACATCAGCAGGAGAGGACTCTTTAAAGTAGAGACACTACATACTGATATGAACCTGAACATCAGCAGGAGAGGACTCTTTAAAGTAGAGACACTACATACTGATATACACCTGAACATCAGCAGGAGAGGACTCTTTAAAGTAGAGACACTACATACTGATATACACCTGAACATCAGCAGGAGAGGACTCTTTAAAGTAGAGACACTACATACTGATATACACCTGAACATCAGCAGGAGAGGACTCTTTAAAGTAGAGACACTACATACTGATATACACCTGAACATCAGCAGGAGAGGACTCTTTAAAGTAGAGACACTACATACTGATATACACCTGAACATCAGCAGGAGAGGACTCTTTAAAGTAGAGACACTACATACTGATATACACCTGGACATCAGCAGGAGAGGACTCTTTAAAGTAGAGACACTACATACTGATATACACCTGAACATCAGCAGGAGAGGACTCTTTAAAGTAGAGACACTACATACTGATATGAACCTGAAAATGAGCATGAGCGACACACTTGAGAAGTTGTAAGGCGAACACAGTCTTATTTACATTTTTCATGAGCTTTGTTGACACTAGGGGAAATAAACAACAGCACCAGCTTCACTCTTTAATGTATTTGCCGTCTGTTTGAAGCTGTGTCTGTTTTCTGACAAACACTCCAGCGCTTCACGGCCATTAAACACATCGCCACGGTGACAGATGGCTGAGGATCTGAGAGCACGACACCCGAGCAAACCAATCTCTGACTCACACCAATGAGGTAGCCATTAGTAACCCTCAAATCTGGTTTACTTACCATACAGGGTTTGCATTTCCTGCCATCCCAGCGCAGGGTTTGGTTGCCGGGGAGACGGGAGGCTGGCAAGGCCGAGTCTGAAAAGCTTGCACCGTCATCTGTCCTTTATCTCGCTGACTTAATGTGGATGACATGGTGTGGAGCATGTGGCTCTCAGAACTGTAAAGCAGAGGGAACATTATTCAATATATTCACAGATTTTACATGAGAAAAACAGTTTGGAAAGGTTTTTACATTTGGAAAATAATCAGACTTCAGAAATTATGTATATTATTGTGCTTTTTACCATGTTTTTCATTATTGTTTTATTATTTTACTCCCATTGTGTTAGTTTATATTGTATGTATTCCCTGTACAGCACCTTGGTCAACTGAGGTTGTTTTAAATGTGCTATATAAATAAATAAAGATTGAGATTAAGATAAATCCCACAGCGGGGAAATTCAAATAAAGGGGACAGTGCAGATAAAAAGGCAAAAGTAATGTGTATTAACTAACTAAATAAAGTATATTAAATAAGTAAATAAAGTGTATTAAATATTTAAATAAAGTGTATTAACTATATAAATAAAGTGGTGTGATAAAAATGCTTTAAAATACAAGTGAGAAAAGATATCCAACATATACATAGGTATTAAAGCAGCAGCCAGTAATATCAATACTTAA